AACTGCGGGTTATATCGTTGGCCATTGATATATGGGGGTAAGGCAATATTACAACAGATGCCAGAAATATGTATCAACGCATTAATAACTCCTTACTTACAGCAGACGGAACATTACTGATTAGCATCAATAGACAGCTGCTAAGAGGCGTGTCCCGCGTGAACTACCGGAAATCACAAATGCCGCGATACGATGAATGCCGCGGTACCATGGGGTCCGAGTATACTGGTCAAAAGAAGCTAAAGAACACCCGATTTTTTCATATTACTACAGTTGACAGAGTTACTATATAGTATTATGAAAGAAGTAAAAGAACGCACGATGACAAATTAAGTAGAGTAATGTGGATTGGTTGGTTTGTTGTTTAACGCCGCACTCAGCAATATTCCAGCTATATGACGGCGGTCTGTAAATAATCGAGACCAGACAATCCAGTGGTTGATATCCTGAGCATCGATCCACGCAATTGGGATCGATGACATGTATCAACCAAGTCAGCGAGCCTGACCACCCGATCTATGATTTGTCTGTGGTTAATTGATTGAATGTAAAGGTATTGCCAAAACTATTGTTATATGTTTTCTGTGTTAAATTATAAATATTATATATCCGTGACTTTAATATGTGTTATGCTTATATTTCACTTGACAAGTGTTTTGCGTTGTACCTCCATTTTTTTGTTGTCTCAGTATGGACAGGTTTATCTCACACCACAGGTGAAACAGGTAAGTCATGTTCACTCGTGCATTACTTTCTGAGCATCAGACCGTATCATTTCATGACTTTACTGTAGGCACAATGGGACTGCAGGCGCATTAGGAAGACACAGTCTGACAAATGGGGAGTCACCATCGCATCGGGAGGCCAGGCTCGTGGACTTGGTTGATGGCACTGGACAGTGCTGGGCCAAGCTCCACGAGAAGAAGTGGTGGTCAAGAAGATCGAACTCGGTGAAACGACCCAAACTGGTGCTGCTGAACTTCTGACTGTTCCACCAAACCACAAAAGAGTGGCTAGAGAAATGGAAACGGCCGAGCTCGACCTAAGGACCAACTTCAACAAGCAGAGTAAACTGCCATTGAGTGCCTGGATGCTGTAGGCCACCTACTTCGCCTTGGGTAGACCCGTGGTTCATGTACAACTTATGTATAGGTGAAATGGGGTTTAACGTCGCGTCCAAGATTATTGCACTTATATAGCGACGTGCATGCCTGAGTGCGTGCGTGCGTGCGTGCGTGCGTGTGATCGGACTGATGCCGATTTATAGTGCTAGCACACTGAGATACCATGCCGCAGTTTAACATGAATACCCCACTCAGACACAGTATACTGACTCCGAGCCGACCAGTCCTTGTTTAGCCCTTAATTCCGAGCGCCACAGGGTAACAACAAGTAACATCTTTTAACGTCTTTTGGTATGACGCGGCCGGGGACAACTTATGTATAGAATCCTTCATGTCCATAACACCCCCAAAATAGATACCTTTAATCTTCAACCCTGTATTTGTTGGATTATTCCATTATCATCCTGGGGTTACAGTCAGTTAGGTTGCTGTTCACTTAACCACAAATTCTTTTGTTTTAGGCTGCCTCACTAATGGGGTGTTACCATGTTAACCGCTGGTGTGTCTGATCCAGACTCCAGGTTATGTGCAGATCTGGGCCCACTTGCACAAAGCCATCTTAGCGCCAAGACTATCGTAAGCCTATGTTAAAGTAGGGGAGTTACGATCATCTTAGCGCTAAGATCGCTTTGTGTAAGTGGGCCCTGGTGTAAGTAGAGACGTATGTACACGCACATAATTTCTGGCTTATAACAGACAGGTCTGCATTAAGCCGATTTACATTTTCCAAAATCTTAATCCCACTACACATACCTGCACTTAGATGCTTGTGCGCCATACTCCAAATCTGTTGATAAGGAATGCTCTTCAGAAACAAAGATATCTGCAAAATGTCAACCCGATAAATATCAAGACCAGCGCTGTCATTTTCATATTCCCAAATCTGTACACAGTGTCATTTGTTTCGTCAGTAGGGGGACGAGGGGGTTTTGGTGGGTATGTGTCGGAGGGTGGAGTGATATAACACAGGTGCGTGTCATGTGTCAGCACGCAGGGGTAGAGACAAGTTCATATACTCCCCACCTTATCTGGGGGGGGGGGGGGGGGAGATCAATATCGTCATATGCAAGACTCCATAGGACGAAATATGATACCATCGGCCGTATTGTAGACTTAGTGCTTGAGTGACCTTGTTTTAAGTAAGTGTGCAGTCGTTGTGTGGGACACTTTAGCAGAGCAAGCCTTAGTCACTTCCCCACTCCTCGTTGATTAACGTGGTTACCCAGTGGTGGGTGATTGCGTCGGTATTTGTTCTGGGTACGTGAACAATTAATCAGGGATTATACCCCAATTCAGTAACGCATGAGACTTTCCAAGAGACCAATCCTAACTACAGCCGGCTAATGTAACCAGATCGCTATAACGCAGTATGACTGCGAATCAATCAACTCTGAAGTACGGGAACTATGGGGACCCAAAATGGCGGACCCAAAGCAGACGATATCAAATGAGCTATCTCTGGATTTAAGCCTACTTCATGATCAAGATAATGATGGATTGTGTGAGATCAGGGCGGAGCTGCGTGAGTCTACGTGCTCCTCCAGTGACCAGGATGACATGGAAGAGGTGTTGATAACCGAAACTGTACCCACAACGGCGTTAGAGTCAACCAAACTGGATTTAAGCGCCCTTTCTGGTGGGTCGAGCTCAAATAGCAGCGGACCTAGTTTGAGTCGGGATCGTCAGCCTTCCTCTCTCCCCGCCGTCAATCCCCGACCCCTAATGGCCAGCGAGGCATGGGGCAGCTCCGAGAGTGACACTAGCGACAAGAGGAGCGGGAGGATGGCTGCTCTGAGACAGAGTAAAGACGCCCTAAACTCTGGGAAACTGGACAGCGAGGAAGGTAGGTTAGCTCGGTGTAGACTCACAGATGCGTCAACAGATAAACTACCCTCTATGCCTATGAGCAGTATCTGCACCAAGCCCTTTCAAAGTCGTCCAAAGCTTCCGGAGAGAAGGTTAGCTTTCGGTTCTTCCTTTGTAAGAGATTCTAATTTTCACAGTACAAGGCTGTATGGGAAGCCGATAGGGAGACCAAAGGTAATTCCTTCTTTTCTCCGAGCTCACACAAGGGAGAGGCGACTGCAGGCATTGACTGTCCAGAAAGACAAAAAGGAGTCTACTACGGATGCCGCGGAAAATGCCCCCCAAGTTGAAAAACCAAAAGACTTTGCAACGTTACACTTGTTAGCTCGACGATCTCAGGGGCATCTAAGATACAAATATATGGCGATGTTGAATGAGTGGATTGCTGAACACGGCGTTCCTACTACATGATGTAGATGTGGATTACAACGGAACCTTAATAGTCAGGACCCCTACAGACCGGACACTTCGCATTCTGGACGATCATTGCCGGGAAACTATGTGAATACAAATGGCCATTGCTCCGAAACCAACATTTGTAAATCTGGACGATTCAAACGGTTCCGTCCTGATTAACGGGGTTATACTGTTCACAGAGACACAAGACACTGTGACACGTTGAGCAAGTGCTGTGGGATGTTCAAGGGATGTGTTGATCGGGGAGCACTGTGAGGGATATCAAAGCCTTCGTGGACTATCGTATCTCATGTGTGATCACGAATCAAAGATAAATGTGTTTAAAATTGAACCTATGGATTTCAATGGCCATATTTGTGTATTTATTCCAATATAGTAAACATACATTAATGTCACAGACATACTATACAGCTTTGGTGTTGTGCAACCACATAGTGTACAGGACCCGTGAAGATCCGGGTGGAGAGTTACCCATGCGTGCATGAACTGGCGACTATGCTTGTCGTAAGTGGCGACTAACGGGATCGGGTGGTCAGGCTCGCTGACTTGGTTGATGCATGTCATCATATCCCAATTGCGTAGATCGGTGCTCATGGTATCAATCACTGGATTGTCTGGTCCAGATTCGATTATTTACAGACCGCCGTCATATAGCCGGAATATTGCTGAGTGCGGCGTTAGACAACAAACAAACATAGTGTACAAAATGCCATGATATCTGATCCTCCAAACCACACGTATCGCTAAGTTGTGATAAAGCAGTATAAAAAATAAATGACACTTAAATTGTCTGATACCATATATAGTTTATTGTCTCAGTAAACACAGCCAGTTGTAAAAAACAATATTTATGTCAGCATATCGATCAATCTCGTACGTCCGCGAGCATATTGGAGGCAGGTTAATGACGAGCAGCAAAACGTATAATCTACGAATGACTGGCATCTGGTTAGTCCACAACAAATTATTTTTGCAATTGGATTGTTTTGTTCAAATTGAGAAACGATGTTAGTAATTTCAGTTTGAACTTCTTCAGAATACTGGGATACATGTATGTCAACGACCGAAAATAAGAAGTCTCGATTATCTGCTGAAACATATTCCATTGGGCGTAAAAGTCAAAATAGCGGTGAAAATTATATGAATGGATCAGTGAAAATCAGTGATGACACCAGGTGTTCGCGAAAAGGGTAAGCATGTCCTGCCCTACCGGTATCACCCGCCATTCACACAATTTACTCACGATACAAACGCAAGTCTATATTTCTTCATGTAATACGTGCCCCAATGTATAAATATGTAAGCTATACAGCCACCATCAGGGCTCATGTTATATTTTCTTGTTGAAAGCTAAGGCACTAATAATGGTCATTCAGTCACATAAGTACACAGTACTTAAATACTATATATAAGATAGTTACGCGATAGGTCGCAAAAAATAAGGGGGGGGGGGGGGGGGGGGGGGGGGCAAATAATTACTGGTACTAAGTATTACTTGTCCCCAACTTGTTTTTTACATGGTTCAAATAAAACTGTTTTCTAAAAAAAAAAAAATTCCCACCCCCCATCCCCCACGGCTAGCTACGGCACTGACGTACGAGCAAGACCGTAACCGAAAATGAAACTTTTACTATATGTCTGTTTAGGATTTTTTTTGTACATCTCCTCATGAAAATCAGCTTGTGTCAAGGACTTGCTCATTTTCAAATATTGGTAAATGCTTCCTGAAAACTCCCAAATCAATCTTTTTATTCAATTCATCCTTACCTGTACACTTTGTCCTTAAATAGTGAGTGAGTGAGTATGGTTTTACGCCGCTTTTAGTAACATCACGGCGGGGGACACCAGAAATGGGCTTCACACATTGTACCATTGTCGGGAATCGAACCCGGGTCTTCGGCGTGACGAGAGGTTAACGCTTTAACCACTAGGCTTCCCGACCACCCCTTGTCTTGAAATAAGTCCCACACATGAAACTGTTGGAACTAACAAAGTCTCATTTATATCAACATACGACATAACTCTCATAACAATATCTGCTCACATGTTTGCTCGATTCTACAACTGTGCTTTACCTTTAGGCTCCAAATGCCCCTTTTATCACACTCATCAATATTTTACACAGTTAAACCTTGAATAAAGGTCTTATAGGATCCGACCATTTGATATTCTGAGGGTCTGTGATATAAATTAAAAAACATTGCCCCCCCCCCCCCCCCCAAAAGGCGTTCACTTCTAAATACATATTCCAAATTTTTTTTACTCTTCTCTTCATGCGCTGAAATATATTATGATTCAAACAAAAGTATAAAAATCAATGCAAAAATACTGCGAGAACATTTTCATCATAATGACCCATAATGACCCCCAAAAACCAGTGGTGAGGCTGACTCGGTCATGCAGTCTGTGGGGATTTGGGGCTGAATATAAACTATGTGCCGCATGTCCGTATCAATGTGGTAGTCTGTATGTTGACACGGACATTATTACATCTGCAGCATCAACAAGTTAGACAAATGTACTCAATTGGTAATGTGTAAGGTAAATTGTCTACTACAAATAGTTTATTATCATAACTAGGAAATAATTTATTTATGTATCATAAATATTCTTAAACAAAGTGGGCGGTGTGGTAGCTTAGTGATGTTGCTGGAGTAGAGCTAAAAGTGGCAATACCATACCCCATCACTGAAAGTGATTCAGAAACTTAAGGAGGTTTCAACATTGTTATCATCTCCCTATGACAACATGAATAATGTCTCTGTACAGTGGTAATACAGACCACATGGCCCATGGTCTCATAGCTTTACGGTAGCGTTTTGGTGGTAACATTTACGGGTCGGCTTGTTTTGTCCACGTTGCTGTCTCGTTGCTTAAAGCAGCTTACAGGGATGTGTGTGCAATCCTCACACACTAAAGTCGTTCCAGTAGCCCCAAAACATGGGCCTATGCCAAAGACATTGGCCTCTTCTGAGCTCGAGCGTCCCCTAGAAGTCGTCCATAGGCGCTGTTGATCACGTACAGCGATCTTGACGTCACCTTGCGATTCGTTGGTTTGGTTGTTATGGTAACAGAAGAGGTGGACTTGGCTACCGTTTCCTGGGAGATCATCTCTTCGTGTGCGCACTTCTTAGCTTCTGCTACTGCCTGTCTGAAGATGTTTAGTCTCCCCGCAATTAGGAATATTGACACATCCTTGAGGAATCGTTCCCAGTTGACGGAGCTGTAACGAAGAAAGTTCAATTTACATTTACAGAATTGTACTGAATCTTAACGCTGGCAGAATATGTCACATTTCGCTGACAGAATACGCCACATAAATTCGGACATAATAAGTCACTGTTATGAAATTTGAAATTATGTTCCTGATAACTTATATGAGTGAGTTGTTTTTTTACGCTTCTTTTATAACTATTTCAGTAATATCAGGGGTTGTCACATTGTTGATGGGTCAAGGCTCAAAATGATGCACAGTCAGAACGTTTTAAGGGAGGAGGATTTATTCGAATCCTGGATCAGCGGATACTTGAAAAATAAGGGACGCCACTCTGATAGCCAAAAGCGGCGCCTCAAAGTGATCACTATAAGTGATTACTGTGTAGTGCCTCGTCAGCAATTATGTTGCTCACTGAGACGTATCTCATATGAGTATGTATAAATGTATTCGATAAGTCATGTACAAAAAATGTACATCGTGATGGCTTCATATTCCGTTTTTAAGACTCTTCGTCCTGCTATAATACAACTACCCACCACTGCACATACCTATGTCAAAATCAAGTTCATTTAGTCCCAGAAAAATAAAGTTATCAAATAAATTTCTACAAAACAAAAAGTAAAATCCAAATGGAGCCGAGAAAAATGCTTAATTTTAGGTCTAGAGCTGAGGCAATCTAGACTAGCTAAATCATTCTAGACTTGAGCTGGGTTTATTATTTAATTTATTCACCAGAGCTATATGACCCCACGTGTACGAGGTTATTGTATATAGCTGAATACATCAATTTTGAGTTCGTCTGACTCTGTATTGCGAGACATAATTAGAGTCAAAAACAGGTAGTGCTGCAAAATAACCGATGGCTAGATAGTATGGTATCAGCTTGTTTAGTATAATTGTAGCAACGTTTCGGTACAGTTGTAGTAACGAATCTGATTATCCATGCTATCTTGTCATCAGCGACATCCAACTTCTAAATGCCCGTCACAGATCTCATGGCATAATGGCATCTTCAATCTGTCTCACAAACTCACCCTGTGAGGTCGTCGTCGGCAAATATTATCTTGTCTTGTCTGTAGGTCACGTGGAATATCTGATCACTGGAAAGGAAAGTATTTCGTTTACATGCAGCTGAAACTATATATACGTTAGAGATAACTTATGTTATATCATTGTTGGTACCCCACCCGCAGACTAGCAAATGGACAAGTGTTTGCCTGTTGTTCAACGCCTCATACTACGATGCACAAGGTGACATACGGGAATTATAGATATCTATAGGGTTTGTTTGTTGTTTAACGCCGCACTCAGCAATATTGCAGCTATTTGACGGCGGTCTGTAGATAATCGAGTCTGGACCAGGCAATCCAGTGATTGACATCAAGAGCATCGATCACGATCACATGTATCAACCAAGTCAGCGAGCCTGACCACCCATTCCGTTAGTCGCCTCATACTACAAGCATGCGTTGATGAAGACCAATTCTAACCCGGATCATCACGCGGTCGGTCAATTATAAGACTGTGTTGACAATAAGTGGAATCATTTTTCGTTTTAATTTAAGCTGCTACTGAATAGCAATTTATGTTTTCCCGTAACTTTCGAGAATTACCCTTAGTTTCACCTGCGGTCCAACACAGTTGGAAACATGAAGAAACTCGGTAGAAGGTAAACACATGTATGACGTGCTATGAGACGCATGAAGCAAACACAAACACAATTGCATGTATCCAAGTGATGGTGTAGCAGGAATAAACTTTTGAAACGAATGACTTTAATTCTTAATGTTCTCTCACGAACAGACTGGAATATAAGGATGGGCGTTAATCAGTAACATACATCCGTTCATCCGAAAAGTCCGGATGAACGAGATTTCATCTTATTCAATAGTTACGTCACACAGAAATGAATGCTCAAATAATCCATGACCTATTTAACCCTGACCGATGTAACTAGCGATCAAACCTGTTCTGGGTTTTTTTCACAATACGTTCATAAAATGCGCTCGTATCAAGTGAATAGCTACACACCAATGTAATAGCAAAGTAGCTTCATTGGTTGCTAACGTAACAAGTTGGAACCTAGCATGGGGACTTGTTGGAAATGTGTTTCAAAGTAGACACAACTCCTGTATTTTACTGTAAAGGTGACGTTTCGGTATAGACCCTTATACCTTTGTCAAGCAAGGAAATATATTTCATTTTTTAAAGTGAAATGTTTTGTATATATGGAGTCTGTGTCAGTAATATATCAAACGATTGTTAAAGACATCTTGGATTCCAACATTGACATGAGACTTTAAATGCTATATATAACACAGCTACGCGATAAGTCGCAAAGAACAATGATGAAGGAAGCGTGGTTTATTTCACGATAAAACCTTGTTCTATGATCGCAACTTGCGCTCGTCACTTGATGACGTCGTGTATTGGAAGACGTTATTTTCCTCATAGATTTAGCTGGACAACTCAGTGGCCGAACGATCTCATCCCAAAATGGAAGAGATATGACAATAGGTATTGGGAGAAAAGGTACAGTATATATATTAAGTAATATGTCAAACGATTGTAGACATCTTGGATTCCAGCATTGACACACAGGAGTCCGTATCTAAAAATAGACGCCCTCATGCATATTCATGACCATCTCCACACGCGAGCCCGAAGGCTCCTGTGATTGACACGAGACATTTAGTGGTAAACAGTTTCCTTACAACACGCCTTGAAAGAAATTTTACGTACGCTTCAGTGACTATTGACATTATTAGAGATGGTTGACGTTACTGTAGTGTTGTACAAATGGTTTTCAATTACATTTATTGGTGTTTTTTTCTGTGTACCGCAGCCTTTTAGTCCAGACATCACCTTTCGCAATGTAAATATATTACACAGCCCTGTTCAATAAAGGTCGTGCAGATGATATATTGTGCGACATAGTCTGTCTTACAGACCCTGATACAAATATATATCAAATACAGCCCATGCAAGTCTATAATGTTTGGCAAGTCTAGATCACTGCAGTATCAGAAAGAAGAGAGTCACTGGGCTCCTTTTTATTATATTTTTATTAAGATTACTGAACAACTGTTGTTGTTTTTTGTACGATATGTTCATTTCAGAGACTAGATGTTATTCTATGTGCGACACTGCGATATGAGTTTCACGCTCTCACTGGAAGCTAACCTTACTTCTGCTCACAGTGGGCGTTTTGGCACCCTGTTGACGCCTCGCATCAAGATGGTCCTGTTATATCTTTGTTTGCCTTTCTTCAAGGCAGCATACGGGACTCACAATAAATATTCGAATAAGTGCTGTGCTTGTATATTTCGGAAGGTACTCTGATCTTAACCCAGACAGCGTTGTTTGGAATCAAGTTTTATTTTTTTAATATTGTTTCAAATGCCTCTCTTGATGCCTGTCTACGTTGCGTTTGTTTAACCGGCGTATATTCTAAGAGTTTTCGGTAGGTTATGATAAGGGCAGGGATAGCTTGAGAATTATAACGTAAAAACTTTGTCAACACAGCAGTAAAGTGTCAAAAGTTCCTTTTGCTATTCAAGATTCCTTTTCAATACTTGTTTAGGCGGTTCCAATGAGATAAAAAGTCTTGAGTTTGCAAGTCTGCAAGTCTGCAAGTAGGATTTATGTCAATTTGAAAGTTAGGTTCAATTCCGTGATGTAATTCATAAGCTGCACTTATAATTAATAACATTAGTTATGAAACATTCTATACACCTCAGACAAGAGCCGAGGTGATGCCCTTTGCTATATAGTAAACACGAACTATTGTTTGCGTTTTCAAAGAAACATATGTTCAAATGAGAGTAGGGTTCATTTCCGTAGTTCAACTAAAGTTTGATAAATATTACAGTGCTGAACGAGTGTCTTTTACTATTCATGATGGTTTTAATTTTTAGATTTTTCATTTCCATTTTTTTTTCAAATTTCCCATTTTGGACATCAAATGAAGGTAAAGTCAATTTTCGGAACGTAACTCATAAAAGGTTCAATAATTAACATAAAACTTTGCATACACCAGGTAACTGCTCAGTTGGTGCCTTTGGCCATACAGGATTATATAATAGATGAAGTTGTGGGGTTTACCTGGCAGATATTTCAACAGAACAAGCGGAGCTAAAATTGGAAATACTTTGTTTGTTTGTTTGTTTGTTTGTTGTGTGCCGCCCTCAGCACTATTCCAGCTATATGCAGAAATAGCAGTGTTCCTTACTATATTACACACATACCGTGGCATTTAACAGCATTCACACATTCATACAACCGCATTATCCTCCTCTTAGTAAGAGGTCACTGGTGGCCCACTTCTAAGGCGTCGCAATTCGCTGAGCAGAGTTGCGTCCCTTGGACACGCTAGAAACCTATGATTGTGGGTTCAAATCCCGGTTCGCCACGATTATTTTTCTAGGTTTGTCAGCACCATACCCGTCCTCGTGGCTTTCACTAAAGTGGTATTCCATCACTTCGGGATTTCCTCCCACATCAAGCTGACTCACCCTGATAGAACTGTAATACTGTTCAAAGCGGCCTTCAACCCAACTCACTCACTCACACTTTTGTTAGTAGACCCTACTGCAAACTAGGTTCATGAAAAGTCAGCGTTTGCGTGACAACATAAGTGAACGACCATATTACTTACAACTGTGACGTCAGACGCAGTAAATCGTCGCGAGATACGTCCCCCCGTCCAGTCTTGTCGCGTGGTTTGACCATCTGTCTGGCACACTCAATCTCGGGGTCGCTCAGGTAGCGGACCAGGGAGTTCTGGAAAACGTGAAAATACAACATATGTCTCATCATTGGGTGCACAGACCAGCGTCCTGCTCGAGAGACAGTACAAACGAACGCAACAAACGCGAAAATGATAACGAGTCACAGGTAGGGTGAATCCTACAGGTGAATTTAGAATCGTAAATTAAGAACCGATAGTACAATCATTCAAATGCGGCCATAGTTAAATTTCGGTATTGATCGGCAGTAAGAACTATAGCTCGTGGTTTAGCGCAGAGGTCAGTGTGTCCTGCCTAAAACAATGTACAAATTGCGTCCATATTGAAAATTCGACATGCAAGAAGAACGTGTGTCCCTGAATGAATGGATTTTGTTTTCATCACACTTTCAAAACATTTGTATTTCCTTCCTTCATCTAATGGCAGTAAAACCCATGTTTGATGGTGGCTAAAAATGAAACAAACAAGAAATGGTTATTAAGTGGGGATGTATTTGATACGGGTATTATAGTTGTGTTTTGGACCTTAAGTTTGCTGCGTTTCGGCGACTGTTTTCATCCTAGTAACGTTCTGATAAAGTTTGTAATTAGTTGCTCAAATCCAGTTTTCAAGGGTATACTTTCTGCACGGCTGTTAATTATAGTATAAAAGGTTAAAAAAAATAGTCCCAGTCTTTTAGTTTGATTCGCGACATAATTGTATCAGGAGCATCGAAGGGGTGCCCTCGGTGTGACGAGCGAATTCCTTAACGGCTCAACTACCCTACCACCCCCTTGTGAGTACCATGCATAATAAACAATATTAACGAACGTAAAATATATTGTTTATGAGGACAAAAATGACATATTAATTGTGCCTATTTAAACATGTACATTGATATTTACAGCATGTGTAAGCTATGGGTTACTAATACTATAGCCAAACGGTCTGCAAAGTAAACCGGTAGACGCGCTGACCAAGTACAGAGAGGGGTTTATTCTACGCCGAACACGACAAGTGCCATTTCCTGTTTGTCTCGGAAACGAGGCGGAAAACATACTAGTCTTGAAGATCCTATTAGCAGTAGATCTGTTATTATTCTGGGGTCGTGGAGGTCAACCAGCAACTATTGTTGCAGTCGAGGCAATTAAATCATGGACAAGTTTTTCGACGATTGCTCAGATAAAAGGAAAATAACCCTTTGATTCATAAACATTTAATTGTAATTTCGTTCGTTCATAAATCTGATTCACGATTAGGTCATACGCTGGTTGACGCTCGTGAATTTTGCACACTTAGCATTTTATTATGTGTGTCAATAATACGCGTTTGCTTGTTTTGTTTGTTTGTTTGTTGTTTAACGCCGCACTCAGCAATAATCCAGCTATATGACGGCGGCAATAAATAATACACGTTGTGTTACTGTTGATTTATGAATTTGAATAGAAACAGAATTATTAATTGGAAACACGCGACTCCTCGTATAATACCAATATGTCAGTACAAGGATGTAATATGTTTATGAAGTTTGACTATCACGGCTATGAATTTGTACGAACATTACATATAATTATTTCAATATTTGCGTACACGGACATATGCCAAAATAATGACAATGAATTGCGTACTTTATTTCTTCTTTCAAGCACTTTGAGAGATTCGTGATTAAGGAAGTTGCTCCAGGAGACACGGCCAGTTAACCCTTTGCTTAGTTGACTGACAACGAGCAGCTCATCCCTCAGCTCATCTGACGTCATTTCCGTTCCCAGCTGCCCTTTGTAGTGCTGCTTCCGGTAGGAGAAATATTGATCTCTGGTGAGATCTTCACCTGAATAGTGAGAAAAAGGCGGAGTTTCTGGTCATGACATTCTGTTAATTTATGGCTAATGTAAAATATTGAGCACAGTTCATCAAATATCGTTCAAGCACAAAGGGAGGGTTCTCTACTATGGGGAAAGACATGTCAGCTTTAAGTTTATACTTGAGAACAACACGCACCTGCTGTGACGTTACACTTGCGGAACATGTCGAGAAGTCCTATCATCTCTTCTTCCGTCAGCAGGTTGCTTACAGTGTCCTGTCGATAAACACGTAAAGATGGACTATACAGCGCGGGAACGTGTTATAATGAGGTGGACAATACACAGTGGGAACTTGTTATAGGGGGTGGATTGTACACAATACATGGAACGTGTTATAATGAGGTGGACAATACACAGTGGGAACTTGTTATCGTGGGGTAGATTGTACACAATGCATGGAACTTTGTATAATGAGGTGAACTGTACAAAGTGGGAACTTGTTATAGGGGGTGGATTGTTCATTGTGGGAACTTGTTATAGTGAGTATGGTTTTACGCCACTTTTAGCAATATCCCAGCAATATCACGGCGGGGGACACCAGAAATGGGCTTCACACATTGTACCCATGTGGGGAATCGAACCCGGGCCTTCGGCGTGACGAGCGAACGCTTTAACCACTAGGCTACCCCACAGCCCCGAACTTGTTACATAGTGAGTTGTATTGTTCATGGTGGGAACTTACTATAGTGAGGTGGACTGTACACAGATGGAACTTGTTATAGTGAGGTGAACTGTACACAGTGGCAACTTGTTATAGTTAGGTGGACTGTACATAGTGGGAATATGGTATAATGGTGTTGACTACTCAGTGGGAACTTGTTATAGTGAGGTGGACTGTACACAGTGGGAACTTGTTATAGTGAGGTGGACTGTACACAGTGGGAACTTGGTATAGTGAGGTGGACTGTACTCAGTGGGAACTTGGTATGGTGAGGTGGACTGTACACAGTGGGAACTTGGTATAGTGAGGTGAACTGTACACAGTGGGAACTTGGTATAGTGAGGTGGACTGTACACAGTGGGAACTTGGTATAGTGAGGTTGACTGTACACAGTGGGAACTTGGTATAGTGAGGTGGACTGTACACAGTGGGAACTTGTTATAGTGAGGTGGACTGTACACAGTGGGAACTTGGTATAGTGAGGTGGACTGTACACAGTGGGAACTTGGTATAGTGAGGTGGACTGTACACAGTGGGAACTTGGTATAGTGAGGTGGACTGTACACAGTGGGAACTTGGTATGGTGAGGTGAACTGTACACAGTGGGAACTTGGTATAGTGAGGTGAACTGTACACAGTTGAAACAGTGAGGTCAACCGAGACAAGTATTTGGGAAATATGTTTTTATTTTTCACCGAGCATTTTTGCTGGACACACTGTTTGATCATTAAACTTATTTAACCAACCGTTTTGATAAAGGATGGACGCCATGTCTAATAGTGTAAGATTTGAAATTCTGGGTTCAAACTTACACAAAGATGACAACTCCAACCGGATGCGGATTGGCTGGCATGCAGGTACCTCACAGCCTCGTTCTGGCATTGGCCGATTTTTGACAAACAACTCTCATGGTACACACGATAGCACACGGCGCATGAGTATACCTCACTTCCGGTATATACACTGCAAATGTGGCAAAGACTGTCGGGCGTCAACTGTGAAAGTTAAGAAAATAACAAATCTGTTTACAATTCACGTTTTGTATAATGTGTGAGAAGTGGACGAATAAAAGGACAAAATAAGATCGTTTATATCAATGTTTCTCGTTTTACCTAAGATCGTGAATGTGTGAATTTGATCTGTTTCAATTTCGTTTTACACAATTTAATGGGCGGATGCCCCCTATTTCATACTCTAACACAAACAAACCAGAGCCGACCACTAACACAGTCCCAATGAGGTGTAGGGACTTTGTAATTGCCTCATGGATTCTCTCATTCGTTATATTAACTGTGTATCGTTATGCAACATCTACCCTTGAAGATCGGGTTAGAGTTGATTTTCAGCAACCCAAGATCGTCGTCTAAATGGAAAAGTTGGCCAGACTCGCTGACTTGGTAGATACATGTTATCGTATCCCAATTACGAAGATCAATGTTCATGATGTCAAACACTGGAGTGCAAGATCCTTACTCGATTATTTACACGCCGCCATCATGAAGAAGGAATTGTGCGACGTTAAACAACACACGTACAAACAACCACATACAATGCAACCTCGGAGAGTGAGTGAGTGAGTTAGATTCTACGTCGCGTTTAACAGTAGTTCAGATATACAAATATCACTGGTAAGAGGGTCGATATTCTGGGGTGGGGGGTTGGGGTGGTGGCTGGGATATTGTTATAAGATTAGATAGTTTTAGATATACAGCTGCAAATCCAGATTTTTTAAAATTGAACCTATGAGCTTGAATATGTGTTTTTTTTTAAGAAAAACACCTTGAAACTGTAATTTTTGTGGCAGACATTTTCTGGGTTCTTTAAACTGTCTGAATTATACCAGAAAACTCAATAAGTTTCTGCGACAATTATTTTTTGTTCAGACTATCAAACGTCAAGACTTGATATTCACAGGCCGTCGTAACAAAGTTAGATGCGTCTTTAAAGAACAAAATATTAACAGTTTCTAACAGGAAGGAAGCAGTGTGGCAAGTAGCCCAGACAATTACATGCACCATGGTTCCTGCAGGCAGCGGATGTAACAAAGAAACCTTACTATCAAGATATTCAAACTTTATGGTATTGTGCTTTCCTCGAGACCTTTTTAGTGATTTTAGCGCGTCACGTGTGATAATGTTGCTATTCCGTAAGGTATACAATAAGGAGTGTGTCAGAGAAATTGTTTTTGTTTTTATTTTTTGCACCACAGTCAACAATATTTAAGCTATAACACGGAATCTGTAAATAATAAAGTCTGGGACACCAGTGGTTGACGGCATGAAAATCATTGGTTACTTGGGGTCTATTCTGCCCCGGATGCCCACAGAGAAGATGTACACTGAGTGTCGTCTTACGCCGCTTTTAGCAATATTCCAGCAAAGTAGCGGCGGGGGTACAAGAAATTGGCTTCACACAATGTACCCATGTGGGGAATCGAACCCGGGTCTTCGGCATGACGAGCCAACACTCTAACCACTAAGCTAATCTTTTGGACGTATAAGAAACCAATCATTACACCTTATAGAATAGGTCTTCAGCAACCCACGCTTGCCGTAAAAGGCGACTATGCTTGTCGTAAAAGGTGACTAATGGGATCGGGTGGTCAGACTCACTGACTTGGTTGATGCATGTCATCGATCCCAACTGCGTGGATCGATGTTCATGATGTTAATCACTGGATTGTCTGGACCAGACTCGATTATTTACAGACCGCCGTCATATAGGTGGAATATTGCGTTAAACAACAAACAAACAAACCCTTTAGAAATCTATAATTCCCGTGTCTCACCTTGTGCGTCGTAGTGTACGGAATGTAAATGGGTTTGATCTCATCCGTTTCCACCCTCTCTTTCCGCACTATCTTACAGAAGTCACTGAAGCGTAGAGAGGTAGAGAGGGAGCTGTTGAGGTTGCTCTTCACTGCCGGTTCCGACTTGCTTCTCTGGAATACTCGCGTCCTGTCCGTCACCTTGACGCTGCTGCTCTGCGAGTCCCAGGGGATGATGTCGTTGCTGCTGTTGTTGACGCAGCTTTTCTTGCTTTTCCCGCCCTTTTTGGAGCTCCCCTTCCCCTTTCCAGACCCGTGAGCTGATTCAGACAATGTGACTGTCTTTATCTTACTTTTGTTGGATTTCCTACGGGAAGACGCGGAACCCATGGCGCAGATTGACCACAAATCAACCTTGTCAACTGCCGACTGTTCAAAGTTAAATATGGAAAGTGTTGTACGTAAATAAACCAGTTGTGCTTTCCGGTTTCGAGTAGATGTTGGAGTAGTGTTACAGGTGGTGCTTAAACTTGATCTTCTCCCTAGAGCAGCGTTGTTGAAAATACGTACAGGTCGATGTGAAGAAGCACGTATGAATGTAGATCAACTGAATGAAGCCGATCGTTCACAGCAAATAAGTGGTCAAGTCCAAATCCCAACAACTCTCAGGAGCACACAGTAGTGTGACCATGGGAAAACAAGCCATTAACACAATCACAGTCATTTCACCTCTTTGGTGAACTTTAACACACATAGCCAGTCTGTAGAAGAGGTCGGCGCGGGGCAGTCTCCATCCCAACAAGTACCCAGCAACTCGGGTTTTGGTACTGCTAGTCGCACTACACCAACGTTGGACGTGACTGGGGCGGCGAGCTCCCCGAGATACGCTCTACAAGGCCTGTGACTGTGTGGGTTTGACGGTCGCCTTGTATCCCGTGTAAGCATCTGTCCCGGTTTCCTTCCTCTGTGGACGTCATCAGCCTCGTGCTGTAAACAATAGTCACGAGACACGTGGCATGACAATCAAGTGGATTATCTAAGTGATGGGCACTTATTAGTTATTACTAATTATATACAATTTCAAGTGATGTGGCACTTATTACAGAATTATATAATGGCACTCATTCCTCAATAAGTGTGATGTACAGAAACTGTGCAGTTTCGTTTGTTTTATTTTCCAATGAAAGAACATGAAAATACTTTTTGCGGTCAATGCAGCATTCCTTACATCTGTGATTATTGAGGCTCATATTCAGAATGAGTGTGTTCTTTTCATGAACATCATTAACCATCTACTAGAGGGAGCGGATCCCAATCACATTCCATACTATAATTCTATTTGTATGTACGAGATACACTATTTACTCAGTGAAAAATGTTTCCGTTTGATATAGTTATAGCGTAACTACACAGATCTGAAGACCGATGTCAAGACAACATATCTTCCTGTTTGTTATACTTCGTCCACTTCCCCGTTATGTACAGGCTTTCCTTGTGCTAGGGAGGTGGCCGATCTAATCGGTAACTATAACTGCAATACCCGTGTCCTGATTATGTTGAAGTGCATTGGTAACAGCCTGTGTTCTGAGACCAGGGCTACTGGATTCTGGGAGCGGTGGGGTAGCCTCGTGCATGGTTAAAGCGTTTGCTCGTCACGCCGAAGGCTTGGGTTCAATTCCCCACATGGGTATACAATGTGTGAAGCACATTTATTGTGCACCGCTACACCGGTGAAGACTCAGTGTAGAATCGGTCTTCAGCAACCCATGCTTGTCGTAAGAGGCGACTAACGGGGTCTGGCTCGGTGACTTTGTTGCATCTTCCCAAGGCAAGGGAGTTAACTGACTATACAAGTTCAGTTTCCACCCTTGCCGAACTAGGCTGGTATTATGGAGTTACATTTTGGCTGGACTAACGAGTCTTCGCATAGTTCAATCAAAAGCGTGCAACCAGATCGAAATCCGGTTCGTGAACTGTGATGCGGATTTCCGTCGATTGCAGGATTTGCAAAGCATGTGCACTGTTAACTCGTTGTCAACAGATATTTTCCAAATCTTTTCATGTTTTTAATGAAGGTGCTCACGCATTGCGCAATGTAAGACCCGTTTCATCACAACATAGATCTTGATTAGAGATCAGATCGTCTTGACTGGGCGCCACTGTTTTGTTTGAAGCAAATGCAAGTGATACGAGAGATGGAATCTGATGGTCTAAAGGAGAGGCTTAGAAGGGACATAACTCGTAATAGCCACTGGTGGCGCTACGATAGAGCTCAGGAATTCCAGCCTAGTTTGGCAAGGGTGGAAACTGGACTTTTAAAGTCAGTTAACTCTCTTGCCTCGTGAAGATGACTTGGTTGATGCATGTCATCGTATCCCAATTGCGTAGATTGATTCTCACAATGTCAATAACTAGATGGTTTGACCAAGAATCGGAAATTGGTTTCACACATTGTACCCATTCGGGGTATCGAACCCACGCTTTCAACGTGACGAGCGACCGCTTTAACCACTGGGCTACCCCACCGCCCCTAGAAGCTTGAAAGGATTCGAGTCTGATGGTATTTACGGAGGAATGTAATATTAAGCGTGACAACGCACTCAGAACGTGCATATGTATGATTTACTGCTTTGCATATACGGAATAGGTTTTTGAAAATTTGTTTTATGTCCTGGTAATTAAATACTATATGTAACTCCCACTCGAATAAGGAAGCATGTTATTATAGACTCGAATGACACAACACTTTTTGTCGGAACTATTTTCAGTCTGCCTCAATAACTCCATGATTTACAGAGTAAGCTCGTTATTAAAATTCATTAAAGTGAGTGAGTATGGATATACCATGTGTCTCAAGACATTTCGTGACTCTCCCCCCGAAATGTGAGATGATATTTCACGAGTCACATGGAATATCCCATTTATTATTTACTAAACTGAGGGCCAAAAGAAACGTTACCAACATTAACTGATTTGCCACTTTGAAACGAAGATGCCAACCTGTTCAAAAACAGTAATGAACACATCTCACGAATACAGCCTTCATGTTCTCTGTCGTTCTTTGCACGTGCTTTGCGGATTTTGGGAGATATTGGTGTTTTTCAGCAATTTTTTAAAACATTCTTTCCTTATTTATATTGCAATTTCCGTGTATAAATTACGCACGGATCTGTTCCCTATCATTGGTTGCGAGCATTAACACCAACGAACATGCCAAGACTGACCGCTGTCCAGAGGGAGAGAGCCATAGGAATGCTGCAGATAGGAGCGACACAGAGAGCGGTTGCCATTAACATGAACTGCTCCAAGATGACCATTACCAGACTGGTCGCACGTCTCCGACAGACTGGCAGAGCCGCAGACAGACCACGGAGTGGCAGAAAAAGGTCACGACCCCGCAGGATGACCGCTTTTTACGGGTACTTCATCCGAGGAACAGATTTCTTACTGTGACGTCATCAACTGCCAACAGCTTAGGACATCCGGTCAGCAGACAAACAGTGACCAGACGACTACGACATTATGGTCTCCGGGCTTATCGCCCTTTACGTGCCAGATTGACGTGGTGCAGCCAAACTCAGCGATGGAAACACAGGGAATGGCGGCGAGTGCTGTTTAGTGACGAGAGCTGGTTCCAACTCTTCAAACCTGATGGGCGGACGCGAGTTTTTCGACGACGTGGTGAACGTACGGCTCCTTGTTGTGTCCAGAAGGTGGAACCTTACGGGGGCGGAATTGTGATGGTCTGGGGCGGCATTTGCGGGGACGAGAAGACGGAACTTGTTGTCATCGAAGGCAGTCTGACAGCACAACGGTACATTGACAATATCTTACGGCCAGTGGTTCTTCCTTTCATCCAGCGTCAACAACGGACGGTGTTCCAACAAGATAACGCCACACCCCATAAAGCCCGTATTACTAGAGACTTCCTCAACGCCAACAACGTGACTGTCCTGCCGTGGCCAGCTCGATCACCAGATCTGTCACCCATAGAGCATCTCTGGGACCAGCTGGGGCGTCGTCTTCGGAAACGTCAACATCCTCCCTTCACGAGACAAGCGTTCATCGTTGCCCTCCGTGAGGAATTGAATCGGATACCTGCAGTCGATGTGAGGACGCTTGTCTACTCAGTTCGACGCCGCATTCGAAGATGCATTGCCGCTCATGGAAGTTATATCCCGATTGAACGGTCTGGGCCGCCGTCACCTTAAAGTTGTAACCAATGTTGTTGATCGAATACTGGACGAATGACCCCTTGTCAAGAAATGCCCCTGTTGGAGGTCCAGGACTTTGTTGTTAAATCAGTAAATTCGCATTTGGCTGTTCTGAATGATGAATTTCTACAATACAATTGTTATAGCTGCTTCAAATTGTGTTGGTCATATTTTATCCTAGAAATATCGTTGGTAACATTTCTTTTGGCCGTCAGTTTAGTACTGTAGGTGTAGGTGGCTATCTAACACGCAGGGACATTTCACCACCCCTTATAACTGCTACTTAAAAAAGAAGTTCCGTGTTTGCCAAATCTTAATAAATATAAACAAAAGTAACAAAATATACTCACACGCAAAAGAAACGCAAGTGTTTTTAAGCAAATAGGTAACAAACACGGAACCATCAATTGATACGAGTTTTAGCATGTATTGAAGCCTGATGGTGTTATCAATATTTTTGGTTGCATTTTGGAAGCCCCGAGTAATAACGCAACGTAAAATTACGAATCGCCGAAACGCACCATTGCAATGAAGATGTGGTTATCATGCACCCATTTCTCGCGAAATCAAAAATGCGCGAACTGTCACGAACTGTAGTGGGTATAAAACTGTGGCCGATTCGTTGACCTACCACTCCTTGGTCAACAATGCCACGCCTAACTCAATTTCAGAGAAACCAGCTATCGGACGTTTGGAAGCTGGAGAATCTGTCCAAGATGTTGCCCGTCATTTCAACGTTAAGATAACCACAATTTACCGTCTCCTGCATCGATACAATGCTACACAGACCACAGATGACCTTCCTCGGAGCGGTCGTCCTAGGGTCACCACACCTCGACAAGATCGGCAGATTACCCGTCAACACCAGTGACATCCGTTCCTAACTGCAAGTGAAAGTGCTCGACAGACCATAGGAACACATAATCGATACATTAGCCGGGACACTGTGATCCGACGTCTCCGTTCCAACAACCTCAGATGTCGCCGACCAGCACGTCGTCCTGTTCTCCAACCACGGCATCGACAAGCACAACTTCAGTGGGCACAGGGTCATCACAATTGGCGTCATCGTGAGTGGAGGCGTGTCATCTTCTCTGATGAAAGTCGCTTTTGTGTCCCCCATGCAGACGGAAGAGTCAGAATTTGGCGGCATCGAGGTGATCGTTTCGCTGACAGAAACGTTGTGATCCATGGGGTGGACCTAGCCTCGTGATATGGGCAGGGATTGGACCTAATGCGAGACTTGGACCCATGTGCTTTCTGAATGTTGGTCAAGGTCGGGGACACGGCGTCACTGCTCAGTCACTGCAAGTGATCAGACCCCACGTTATTCCATTTTTTGCACAACATCAACAACACATTTTCCAGCAGGACAACGCTCGTCCCCATGTTGCCAGAGCTACCATGGCCTTTCTGCAACAACACAACATCCGTGTTGTACCGTAGCCAGCCCTCAGCCCTAATCTGAACCCAATCGAACACTTGTGGGATGAGGTTCAAAGGCGTCTGCACAATGTGCGCCCAGTCCCTACAACTGCCGATGAACTACGCACAGCTGCTCTGGATGTGAGCAGGAGGATCCCTAGGGCCTTCACAAATCGTCTGATCCACTCAATGTACAGGAGATGTGTGGCAGTGATCAATGCTAATGGTGGTCACACCAGGTGTTGACTGACATTATGGGTATTGACCCGAAACTGTGTAAGCCCTTAACATTTGAAAAAAACAATTATGTCATCTGCCTGTCAATTTTTTGTCAATCTTGCCCTATTAGTATCTCTTGTCTTTACTGTTGAAAATAAATAACATGTATACTGCATACTCGACTGCGTGTGAGTATATATTTGAGGTAAAAAAATTGGATAACATTTTCTATAAAACAAAAAATATTCTTGAAATCTACGAGACCGTTCTTGGAATACACGATGGTCAAGCAACAAAAAAATGGCGCATTAAAAATGCGGAACGAAAAGTTTCAACTGACGTGTTAAATGAGAAATTTACAGTTTATAACGAAACATTTTCAAGAGAATAAAAAAACGATCAGAAGCGATATTAATTCCACAAATGACCATCTGTCATTATTTCTCTGTGTCAATGTGGAACTAAGGTAAAAAGAAAGTCAACAGTTTGTGTTTGTGTAACACTTACGTTAAAGGGGAGATAATTTTCAGGGAGGTAACTCTTGTATGACAATTTTCCGTGAAAGTGTTATTTTTACTGCAGTGAAACAGCAAGTGTTGTGTTCACTGCAATGAAAATATCCCTTTTTACACTGAAGTATATTATAAATAACACATTCGTCTTATTTTGTCAAATAACATGTTTAGATCTTGGATAAGAAAATACCAATATTCTCAGCAGTTAAATATTGGAATACATTAGCATATTTAACCTACATTCATTGACCTTCACATTTATGCTTGTCTGACCTACTTAGAAGTGAGATACCATATTGATAAAGATGAGTGAGTGAGTCAGTTAACTTTACCGCCGCTATACCATGGTGTCAGCTTGATGCAAGAGGACAGGCGGAAGTGGAGCGGGCCTCAGAGGTTTACCACTTGGGTAAAACCTATGAGTCAGGAATATCGCTGATAAACCTTGACATGAGAATACACCAGTTCTGATTGAAAGTTCTCTTCTAAGATGGTCACTTTTCCAAAGAGCCAAGCATGTATATTCTGTAATTTGTGAGGTGTCACTCAGATAATATCCAGATAAAAGTGTAAAAGGTTGCATTTTCAACTTCCAAGAGTAGTTCAGTTGCACCTGAAATGAACCATTTCATACCACTTTGACTGTTTATCCGTCATGTATTGCACGTGAATGGGCTACACAGCCATGTTTTGTGTAGCTTTTTTCATCATCTTCAATATTGCACTTGTCATTGTTTTAATGTGTCAATCTTTCCAGTTTCATAGGCATAAACATGTTCTTCAACTCTTAATCACATTGTCAACATACTCAGATCTATTGACCCTTGTTGGCATATGTTCATGTAAATAATTATTTTATGGTCTCTGCTCAGAGTTGTTAACGTTTTATCGAGGAGTGTGGATTTATTTGATATCAAGACACTCCGGTAAGATTTTATTAATCATCCAACATCATTCTTCCAACCTTTTCATCTTGTAAATTGTAACAAGCAGTGTTCTGTGTGTAAAAAGAACAGCTAAGCTGCTTCAGTGGTAAATATTAGTGATGTCAATTGATTGTGACATCATGTTACCAGACGATGTCACAATGGTCTGTGATGAAAACTCATTGCAGCTATATCTCCTAGGAGATACTGCTGGATCTCACCCAATATCTCCAGTGGAAGCCAGTTTTGGATGATAAATTCTCATCACACTTTGAAACAATACACAACTATTGTGGATTCCTCGTCTAAATATACTGAACAAGAAACGTTCCTTTGACATTGAATAATATTTAATGCAAAGTAATGTTTTTTACCAAATCTGAAACAATTTCAGTTTGCAACAGATAAAAGACTCCTGTAAGTGTTCAAATGGTTTAATTTGCCAAACTAACTTGCGTGAATTTCATAACAAAAACATGAACATCTTCCCTTGTGGTGATCAGCTTGTGACATAGGACAAGTCAGCTGTCTTCCTTCATGGTGTTCAGCTTTTGACATATGACAAGCCAGCTGTCTTCCTTCATGGTGTTCAACTTGTGACATAGGACAAGCCAGCTGTCTTCCCATATGGTGTTCAGCTTTTGACATAGGACAAGCCAGCTGTCTTTCCTTATGGTGTTCAACTTGTGATGCAGGACAAGCCAGCTGTCTTCCTTCATGGTGTTCAACTTGTGATGCAGGACAAGCCAGCTGTCTTCCTTCATGGTGTTCAACTTGTGACATATGACAAGCCAGCTGTCTTCCCTTATGGTGTTCAACTTGTGATGTAGGACAAGTCAGCTGTCTTCCTTCATGGTGTTCAACTTGTGACATAGGACAAGTCAGCTGTCTTCCTTCATGGTGTTCAACTTGTGATGTAGGACAAGCCAGCTGTCTTCCTTCATGCTGTTCAACTTGTGATGTAGGACAAGTCAGCTGTCTTCCTTCATGGTGTTCAACTTGTGACATAGGACAAGTCAGCTGTCTTCCTTCATGGTGTTCAACTTGTGATGTAGGACAAGCCAGCTGTCTTCCTTCATGGTGTTCAACTTGTGATGTAGGACAAGCCAGCTGTCTTTCCTTATGGTGTTCAACTTGTGATGCAGGACAAGCCAGCTGTCTTCCTTCATGGTGTTCAACTTGTGACATAGGACAAGCCAGCTGTCTTCCTTCATGGTGTTCAGCTTTTGACATAGGACAAGCCAGCTGTCTTTCCTTATGGTGTTCAACTTGTGATGCAGGACAAGCCAGCTGTCTTCCTTCATGGTGTTCAACTTGTGATGCAGGACAAGCCAGCTGTCTACCTTCATGGTGTTCAACTTGTGACATATGACAAGCCAGCTGTCTTCCCTTATGGTGTTCAACTTGTGATGTAGGACAAGCCAGCTGTCTTCCTTCATGGTGTTCAACTTGTGATGTAGGACAAGCCAGCTGTCTTCCTTCATGTTGTTCAACTTGTGATGTAGGACAAGCAAGCTGTCTTCCCTTATGGTGTTCAACTTGTGATGCAGGACAAGCCAGCTGTCTTCCTTCATGTTGTTCAACTTGTGATGTAGGACAAGCCAGCTGTCTTCCCTTATGGTGTTCAACTTGTGATGTAGGACAAGTCAGCTGTCTTCCTTCATGTTGTTCAACTTGTGATGTAGGACAAGCAAGCTGTCTTCCCTTATGGTGTTCAACTTGTGATGCAGGACAAGCCAGCTGTCTTCCTTCATGTTGTTCAACTTGTGATGTAGGACAAGCCAGCTGTCTTCCCTTATGGTGTTCAACTTGTGATGCAGGACAAGCCAGCTGTCTTCCTTCATGTTGTTCAACTTGTGATGCAGGACAAGCCAGCTGTCTTCCTTCATGTTGTTCAACTTGTGATGTAGGACAAGCCAGGTGTCTTCCTTCATGGTGTTCAACTTGTGATGTAGGACAAGCAAGCTGTCTTCCCTTATGGTGTTCAACTTGTGATGCAGGACAAGCCAGCTGTCTTCCTTCATGTTGTTCAACTTGTGATGCAGGACAAGCCAGCTGTCTTCCTTCATGTTGTTCAACTTGTGATGTAGGACAAGCCAGGTGTCTTCCTTCATGGTGTTCAACTTGTGATGTAGGACAAGCAAGCTGTCTTCCCTTATGGTGTTCAACTTGTGATGCAGGACAAGCCAGCTGTCTTCCTTCATGTTGTTCAACTTGTGATGCAGGACAAGCCAGCTGTCTTCCTTCATGTTGTTCAACTTGTGATGTAGGACAAGCCAGGTGTCTTCCTTCATGGTGTTCAACTTGTGATGTAGGACAAGCCAGCTGTCTTCCTTCATGGTGTTCAACTTGTGATCTAGGACAAGCCAGCTGTCTTCCTTCATGGTGTTCAACTTGTGATCTAGGACAAGCCAGCTGTCTTCCTTCATGGTGTTCAACTTGTGATGCAGGACAAGCCAGCTGTCTTCCTTCATGGTGTTCAACTTGTGATGTAGGACAAGCAAGCTGTCTTCCTTCATGGTGTTCAACTTGTGATCTAGGACAAGCCAGCTGTCTTCCTTCATGGTGTTCAACTTGTGATCTAGGACAAGCCAGCTGTCTTCCTTCATGGTGTTCAACTTGTGATGCAGGACAAGCCAGCTGTCTTCCTTCATGGTGTTCAACTTGTGATGCAGGACAAGTCAGCTGTCTTCCTTCATGGTGTTCAACTTGTGATCTAGGACAAGCCAGCTGTCTTCCTTCATGGTGTTCAACTTGTGATGTAGGACAAGCCAGCTGTCTTCCTTCATGGTGTTCAACTTGTGATGTAGGACAAGCCAGCTGTCTTCTTTCATGGTGTTCAACTTGTGATCTAGGACAAGCCAGCTGTCTTCCTTCATGGTGTTCAACTTGTGATGCAGGACAAGTCAGCTGTCTTCCTTCATGGTGTTCAACTTGTGATGTAGGACAAGCAAGCTGTCTTCCTTCATGGTGTTCAACTTGTGACATAGGACAAGTCAGCTGTCTTCCTTCATGGTGTTCAGCTTGTGATGTAGGACAAGCCAGCTGTCTTCCTTCATGGTGTTCAACTTGTGATGTAGGACAAGTCAGCTGTCTTCCTTCATGGTGTTCAACTTGTGACATAGGACAAGCCAGCTGTCTTCCTTCATGGTGTTCAACTTGTGACATAGGACAAGTCAGCTGTCTTCCTTCATGGTGTTCAACTTGTGATGTAGGACAAGCCAGGTGTCTTCCTTCATGGTGTTCAACTTGTGATGTAGGACAAGTCAGCTGTCTTCCTTCATGGTGTTCAACTTGTGATGTAGGACAAGCAAGCTGTCTTCCCTTATGGTGTTCAACTTGTGATGTAGGACAAGCCAGCTGTCTTCCTTCATGGTGTTCAACTTGTGACATAGGACAAGGGAATCTTCAGTCCTACTACTGGCCCAACAGCACTTAACCAGCTAAGGAGGTAATTCCTACAAATGAAAATAACAATCAAAAGTATTTTTCAATAGGGATTTTTGTTTTTGAAATAAATAAGTTGGTACTGAATAGGGATGTCACGATTCACCATCATATCATTGCATCAGTATGTTCTCAGATGATACATAAATCACCTGTATCAGTTCAAAGTTTAATCCTGCAACAATTCATATTTTAATTCTGTATCTGTTTACACATGGAACATTTAAAACAGCAATGGAATGAATATGTGGACAAAATGGATCCTACGTACAATTTAATAAACAATTTTATCCTTACTACTTTTTGTGATTTCAACATTGTACAATTAAAGTAGTTCCAAGACTTAAATTCTGTTCTTGTCTTTTTCTCGTAATCGCAAGATATTCAGAAGTTTCAAACCTCTTTTATAGTGTTTATACCCTCTGAGATATATGTATTAACACAAAATTGCAGCAAACTAAGTATCACAATATTTATCGCATCGTACTCAAAGTCTCGCGATATGTATCATATTGGTGGATAGTCGTATTGTGACATCCCTAGTACTAAATAATGTTGTGATTTATTGATAATTCCCACATTATAGCTAGATTCTTTAAATGTACTTCTGCTTGAGTTCTACACAATACATTGTTGACTGATGTATCCCCTTGTGTACCTCGAACAGCTGTCTGGGGCTGATTGGTGCCCTCGCTTATCTTGAACAGCTGTCCAGGGCTGGCTGATCCCCCAACTTACCTTGAACAGTTGTCCGGGCTGGCTGATACCCTAGTTTACTTTGAACAGGTGTATGGGTCTGGCTGATCCCCTATCTTTCCTTGAACAGCTGTCTGGGGCTGGCTGATCCCCTAGCTTACCTTGAACAGCTGTCCGGGGCTGGCTAATCCCCTAGCTTTCCTTGAACAGCTGTCCGGGGCTGGCTGATACCCTAGCTTACCTTGAACAGCTGTCCGGGGCTGGCTGTTACCCTAGCTTACCTTGAACAGCTGTCCGGGGCTGGCTGATACCCTAGCTTTCCTTGAACAGCTGTCTGGGGCTGGCTGATACCCTAACTTACCTTGAACAGCTGTCCGGGGCTGGCTGATACCCTAGTTTACTTTGAACAGCTGTCCAGGGCTGGCTGATCCCCTAGCTTTCCTTGAACAGCTGTCAAGACTGGCTGATGCCCTGGCTTTCCTTGAACAGCTGTCCAGGGCTGGCTGATACCATAGTTTACTTTGAACAGGTGTATGGGTCTGGCTGATCCCCTATCTTTCCTTGAACAGCTGTCTGGGGCTGGCTGATACCCTAGCTTACCTTGAACAGCTGTCCGGGGCTGGCTGATCCCCTAGCTTTCCTTGAACAGCTGTCTGAGGCTGGCTGATACCCTAGCTTACCTTGAACAGCTGTCTGGGGCTGGCTGATACCCTAACTTACCTTGAACAGCTGTCTGGGGCTGGCTGATACCCTAACTTACCTTGAACAGCTGTCCGGGGCTGGCTGATACCCTAGTTTACTTTGAACAGCTGTCCAGGGCTGGCTGATCCCCTAGCTTTCCTTGAACAGCTGTCCAGGGCTGGCTGATGCCCTAGCTTACCTTGAACAGCTGTCAAGACTGGCTGATGCCCTGGCTTTCCTTGAACAGCTGTTCAGAGTTGGCTGATGCCCTAGCTTTCCTTGAACAGCTGTACGGGTCTGGCAGGTCCCCATGTTTACTTTGAACAGCTGTCTAGGTCTGGCTGATCTCCTAGCTTACCTAGAACAGCAGACCAGGGCTGGCTGATCCCCCTAGTTTACCTTGAACAGCTGTCTAGGTCTGGCTGATCTCCTAGCTTACCTGAAAGAGCAGACTAGGGCTGGCTGATCCCCCAAGCTTACATGGAACAGCAATCCAGGGCTGGCTGATCCCCAAGCTTACCTTAACCGGTGTCCAGGGCTGGCTGATTCCCTAGCTTACCTTGAACAGCTGTATGGGTCTGGCAGGTCCCCTTGTTTACTTGGAACAAATGTCTAGGTCTGGCTGATCTCCTAGCTTACCTTGAACAGCTGTAAAGGGCTGGCTGATTCCCTAGTTAACTTTGAACAGCAGAGCAGGGCTGGCTGATCCCCCTAGCTTTCATTGAACAGCTGTCAAGGGCTGGCTGATGCCCTAGCTTGCCTTGAACAGCTGTATGGGTCTGGCAGATCCCCTAGTTCCTTTGAACAGCTGTCTAGGTCTGGCTGATCTCCTAGTTTACCTAGAACAGCAGACCGGAGCTGGCTGATCCCCCTAGCTTACCTGGAACAGCTGTCCGGGGCTGGCTGATCCCGTAGCTTATCCATAACAGCTGTCCAGGTCTGGCTGATTTCCTAGCTTCCCTAGAACAGCAGACCAGGGCTGGCTGATCTCCCTTGCTTACCTGGAACAGCTGTCCGGGACTGGCTGATCTCCTAGCTTCCCTAGAACAGCAGACCAGGGCTGGCTGATCTCCCTTGCTTATCTTGAACAGCTGTCTGGGGCTGGCTGATCCCGTAGCTTATCCATAACAGCTGTCCAGGTCTGGCTGATCTCCTAGCTTCCCTAGAACAGCAGACCAGGGCTGGCTGATCTCCCTTGCTTACCTGGAACAGCTGTCCGGGACTGGCTGATCCCGTATCTTATCTTGAACAGCTGTCCAGGTCTGGCTGATCTCCTAGTTTACCTTGAACAGCAGACTGGGGTAGGCTGATTACCTAACTTACCTTGAACAGCTGTGTGGATCCAGTTTACTCATGAGGTCGGCAGTATGACACGGATGGAGCTGGAAGAAGGGTCGGCCCAAGATTGGGTGTTCCTGCAGATACATCAGGCATATCATCAACACCTATTTCTAGCAAAGGATTTTTAGAACTGAAACAACTTGATTTATAACAAGTACTTGTAAAATCACAAATCTGATAATCACATAAAGCAAAATGTCAGAAGGTCAAGGCTTTGTTGAATACTATTGTTGTCAAAACCTGGTTTGGTTGTGTTTTGAATTCTGCAGCATAATTATGTTTTTCAAGCATTTTCTGTGACAATACATTTAGTTTGATAAAATCCCCGGACCCCATCAAATCTTTGCTCTCATTCTAGTTTTTTGTCTGAAAGCTTCTTGTTTATCATGCTCTATATTTACATGTATGAAGGTTATCAACTGCTGAGCATCTAATACTTCCAAATATGTTAATTTCAACATCACAAATATCTTCATTCTTAAGGACTATCATCTACCTGCTGTGTTAAGATTGTCCACCGTTCATGATGAAATCTGTCCTGGTAGTGTTGGGGGACGTTGTTCCACACAGCGTCCAGTGACAAGAGTCTCCCGTCTGAAAATCAACATAAATACTGCTCACATCATAAATGTTTGTTTAACGCTTGGGGGATCAGCCAGCCCTGGTCTGCTGTTTTAGGTAAGCTAGGAGATCAGCCAGACCTAGACATTTGTTCCAAGTAAACAAGGGGACCTGCCAGACCCGTACAGCTATTCAAGGTAAGCATGGGGATAAGCCAGCCCTGGATAGCTGTTCCATGTAAGCTTGGGGGATCAGCCAGCCCTAGTCTGCTCTTTCAGGTAAGCTAGGAGATCAGCCAGACCTAGACAGCTGTTCAAAGGAAACTTGGGGATCAGCCAGCCCCGGACAGCTGTTCAAGATAAGCAAGGGAGATCAGCCAGCCCTGGTCTGCTGTTCTAGCGAAGCTAGGAGATCAGCCAGACCTAGACAGCTGTTCAAGGTAAACTAGGGGGATCAGCCAGCCCTGGTCTGCTGTTCTAGGTAAGCTAGGAGATCAGCCAGACCTAGATAGCTGTTCAAAGTAAACAAGGGGACCTGGCAGACCCGTACAGCTGTTCAAGGAAAGCCAAACTCTACGGACTGCTCACTCAGTTTCTAGCTTCCTCTGCCCGAATGTCTCACATAAGAGTAGCATTGAATACTACTGTTCAGGGTTTACCGTTTGGAAAGTCATGACCAGTTTCGATGATCAGGTTTTGTCTTTATTTACATTTTATATGAAGGAGGGACAATTGTTTAAAATTTTCACAACTTCCATTCCACAATTGCACAGTATGTTCAATCTTGGAGAGATTCCTTGTTTGTTTGTTTGTGGTTAAGGCTACACCAATAATCCAACTTTTCTGAACCAGCCAATCTTGTTATTGACATCAAGTTCCGGGGTAGAATATGTCTTCAGCAACCCATGCTTGCCGTAAAAGGTGACTATGCTTGTAAGAGGTGACTAACGGGATCGGGTGGTCAGGTTCGCTCACTTGGTTGATGCATGTCATTGTATCCCAATTGAGTGGATCGATGCTCATGATGTAAATCACTAGATTGTCTGGTCCAGACCTGATTATTTACGAACTGCCGTCATATAGCTGGAATATTGCTGAGTGCAGTGTTAAACAACAAACAAACACAACATGTTTTCCATGTCAAAGAGAATTTGGTAAAAACTGTACCAAACTGGAAATATGATGACATACCTTCGCCTTAATTTCCTGAATTCAGTAATGCTCAACCAACACATGCACATTAAGGCAAGGTGGGTCAGCTTGTTTGTTTGTTCTTTAACGCTGCAGTCTGAAATATTCCAACTATATGATGGCGGTCTGTAAATAATCGAATCTGGACAAAATAATCCAATGGTTGACGTCATGAGCATAGGACTGTTGTGATTCACTCGTGTATTCGGTGAATCGAAGCGTATCCATTCATGAATTGAATTCATTATTCATGGCCACTAGAATCGAATATTTATGAATATGTGCATTTACATACCCTGTACCTAAAAATATCCTTAAGAACATATTATACGTATAGATTTCTTCAAAGACAAGACTCTTACAACATTAAATTTGACAGTAATGTGGTCACTGGTCATTGTCGCATTTGTCAGATACTGGTAAATGGATAAGTGCAGTATATACATGTAAATGTATGACATATTAATAATTAACAAACCATGTCCAATAATTAATGTTGTTATTCTTTCACTGAATATAACAAACAATACATCAACTGCTGACTTGTTATTGTATTTGTGACCCTATATTCGTGATACAAATCGTATTCGCCTCATAGTGTATTCATTGCAGCCCTAATGAGCATTGATCTATGCAATTGGGATATGATGACATGCATCAACCAAGTCAGTGAACCTGACTGACCCCCTGATCCTGTTAGTCGTCCTCTTATGGCAAGCATGGATTGCTGAAGACCAATTCTAACCTGCATCTTCATGGGTGGGTGAGTCAGCATATATTTTTGGCATATACAGTCAAGTCTCGTTTATCCGACACAAATGATGGAAACCGATTAAATCAGTGCTATTTAGACCCTTTAATCCGAAGTCTCGCACTCTGACGCACCTAATTTGCAACGAATTGCTGAAATCACTCATTAATCAGTCTCGTTAATCCGACACAGTGATCGGCGTACTTCGTGGTCATCTGTCCGCGAGTACACAGCCCGTTTTTTGATGCGAGACGAGTTGGCGTTAGCTGCATATTTCAATGGCTGCTGAGATAAACTTGCTTAACAATAAACAATTACTGCTTTAAATAAACAAAACAGGATTAACCATTGCCTAGATTACCTCAATCTCATTAAAATCGTGTACAAGTTCTCGATACCGCTGAGGACATCCTATTATAGGTCACATCAGAAAGACCTTTCACGAACTTTGACCAACCAATGAAATTACTAACAGGAAGTCGACATTAGCCACCAAAAAAGCAGCTTTCTTAAGCGACTTCCATTCCAGACTATGCTTTAGAAGGTAGTTTTGAAGCAGTCATACAGTCCGTAACAGTAGTTTAAACTTATGTTAAAATATGAATATTTCCAATTTCTGTTTTTTATTACAACATGTTTGAATCAGTATCTATCATGTAGTTGTCCAATTTTTTATCACTAACAGTGATACTACCTAATATTGTTAGTCACACATACTCGTTAATCCGACAAAATCATATGCCACGAACAATGTCGGATTAAAGGGACTTACAAAATTCTCAAAAATCATTTGAATTTGAATATTACTAATAATTTATTTATATCATATACTCAACCTCTTTTTTGATTAATCAATTAATGTACTTATCAAAATGATGAGAGCTCACAACTAGATTTACACACTTACAAAAACATGTAAAGACAAACAATTTTAATTACAAAATGGATATTTAAGTTCATTTATTTACAATAATCAAATATTTTCAACTATTGTAGTCTGATCAATGAGCAGGGCCACTGAAAATTGGTGACCTCACTCCAGTGGGGTTAGTTATCTAAGGGAAGTAACTCTGTCTGTCCTAATTAGAGACAGGCACTTGCTGGAGTGAGACCTGGCTTATTGGGTTTGATACCGGTCATGTTGACAATGGGAGTTTGTTCATTTGTTTAACCCTGCACTCGGCAATATAACAGCTATAATGACTGCGGTCTGTGTATATTTGAGCCTAGATCTGACAATCCAGTAGTTGACATCACGAGCATCGTTCCATGCATTTTGGATGCAATGACGTGTTTGTTTGTTGTTTAATGCCACACTCAGCAATATTCCAGCTCTATCACGGTGGTCTGTAAATAATCAAGTCTGGACCAGACAATCCAGTGATTGACATCATGAGCATCGATCCACTCAAGTGGGATACACTGACATGCATCAACCAAGTCAGCGAGCCTTACCACCCGATCCCGTTAGTCGCCTCTTACGACAAGTATAGCAAAGACGTGTAATCAATCAAGTCGCCAACAAGCCTGACCACATGATCCATTTAGCAGCCTCTTCTGACAAGCATATATAGGTGATTGGGGACCTATATTCTTACCCCAAATCCCCACAATGACAACTCTGCATCAATCGTACACAATTTCATCACGCACAATAATCGATGGTTCAATTACAGGTCAGTAATTACAGACACAATTATGAACATGCTAAACATTCTAAACGCAACGTGGAAAGAAGAATTTAAAATGTTAGTATTATTTGATAATGGCAGCTGCTTGTGTTACTTATGGCAAATTATTTTTTCCGCAAATAATTATTGGTTAAAAAACTGGACAGACAATACTAATAAATCATGTAAGTAGGAGTTTTGAAAAACAACAACTTTCAATCCATCATTTTTATCCAATTACTGCAAACTTTAGAGCATTTACACAAAAAATGGTTCTGAAAGTTGGTAAGGCCAGCCATTGAAAATAATTATGCTTCGGATTCTTTTTAGAGTGAGTGAGTGAGTGAGTGAGTGAGTGAGTGAGTGAGTGATCGGGTGAGTGAGTGATCGAGTGAGTGAGTGAGTGAGTGTGGTTTTACGCCACTTTTAGCAATATTCCAGCAATATCCTGACAGGGGACAATAATCCTTACGTGCTTACACTATATATATTAAAGTCTCCATCAAATACAGTAAAAGAACATAGAAATAGACACATGTGTTAACAGGTTGTTTCCAGAAGTCTGTGTACACTGTACCATAACATTCAAACTACATCATGCCATTAGCATTAGGGCTGAGATCGAGTGAGTGAGTGAGTTGGGTTTAACAGCACTTTGAACAGTATTTAGTCATATCATGACGTGCCAGCTTGGTGTGAAAAGAAACTTATGCACAGTATGGTGCTAACAAACCAAGCAACATAATCAGTTTGAATCCCCGATTCCAACCCACAATCACACTTTTTTGACAAGGGACGCAACTCTGCATAACAAACTGCGGTGCCCTATTCCCACTGCTGCAAGTATGCACTATTTATCCCGAAACTTTGTTCCTGATATGATACATAACACAAGACACTATTTCAGGGTAATACTTGACATGAGACTTGTAAAAATAAATTTGCTGTTTCTCAGACCTGCCCCTAAAATTGATTTAAGCTGACATGTACCAAGAGCACAAGAAATCAAGATTTCTTATCACTGTTTTTGTAAACATACTAAAACAAATTATTAAGGCGTTTAAGTAATCAAATTTGTAAAAAGAATTAGTATTGTTTTTAGTTCCAATTTAAATCTTTTCATTATTGCATTGATTATGCAGGGTGTGATGGACTAACCAAGCAATATTTTTTCATTTGTTTTAATACACTGAAAAATAATCATGCCATAACCTAAAAAAGGACTACTGTTTCCGGATTGGCTGTTATTAGTATGGATGAGCTTGTGTGGCATTATTGCACTGAACTCTGTCACCGATTTCGTATTGCTGACAACAACTTTTTGCAAGTTTTTTACAAAATAAATCTGTGAAGTTAATATTTTTGGAATATATATTTTGAATTGACTTTAATATCTTTTTGGCTTCATGGAGCTGTAAACATAAAGACTGGCATGCACCTATCAGAGCTCCAGATAAGCTTTTGGTGTTGTGGGTATTTTACCCATGCATTTTTAAATCATTGGGTATCAGTAATTCTATCTGGGTATTTAAATTTCTGTTACTCACTAGTTTTTACACATGTGGGTATTTAAGTTAAATATTTAAAAACACTATTCATCTAGTCCCTGCAAACTGGTGTCGTGTGGGTTCGAGAGCTTTATAGGACTCAAAAATACCACGATACTTCCACACGAAAGTGTGATGGCAAATGATCATGATGTAACTGTCATTGTGGAGTTTGGCAAGGTTGACAGAATGCCCGTTTATAATTTCAAAATAAGATGCTGATTTGCTAATCGGATACGAAGGGTTACTTCACAATATTTTGATGATACACACAAGTTGTTTTTTTGTAGCGTATCTGTAATGTTCGTTGCGTATTTGATATGCTTGGATTTTATTTTACTGCGTATTTCTACATTTTTGATGCCTATTTTACGCAGATACGCAGCTTATCTGGAGCTCTGCTATGCAGATTTACACTGTATGTACACTGCTTTTTACATTATACATCCATAAACACACAAAAATATTCAAGTCAATTCTTAAAAAAATCACAAATTACAACACTCCCCCTACCCTCACTACATACATGTAAACATTAATATTAGGTTGCACTTTTCAATAATAGGTTGCACTGGTGCATGTTTTCTGTTTCTAAATCGAGTCCTGCCCTATAATGAGTATTGCATGACATCGTCAGGAGTCTAACATCCATGGATGAAGTGCCACTGGCACAGTTATAATCGTAATGGAACCGTGACAATAAGTTCCAGCTGCCTGAAGGCAACACATGTAAATCACATTTGTCTTAGAATATGACTTGTGTCGATGTTTATCATATTTTAAAACCAGTCATAAATGCACTTTTGCACAAGATGACTGGACAAACAGAGGGTAAAGAATCAACAAATGATCACTTAATGTAAGTCAATAAACACTATGATTCATAAAATAAACCAGGTGATTCAGGAAATAAAACAGAAATGGACGAGTCTTAAAACCCCTGACTTTCCAAGGCTGCATTGTCAACCTCAATGGAAAGGAGAGAGGCAAGCTCTTGATATCTAGCTCATGGTGTAATGTCTCTGAATTTGTAGATTGTTCAAAACTATTCTTCTTGTTGGCATGTTTAAAACCAAAGAGCACACTAAACATGTGCCCTTGGTTTGTTGTTTTACGCCGCACTCAGCAATATTCCAGCTATATGACGGTCTATATCCCAACGGTCTGTAAATAATCGAGCCTGGACCAGACAGTCCAGTGATTGATCTCACGAGCATCGATCCACGCAACTGGGATCGATGATATGCTTCAAACAAGTCAGCGAACCTGACCACCCAATCCTGTTAGTCGCCTTTTGCGACAAGCATGGATTGCTGAAGACCTATTCTACCCTGGGTCTTTACGGGCCTGCAGTCTGACAAAATGAAGTAATGCATACCTTGTGTATATGCATTGAAGTACAGGACTGGCACCCCATAGCTGGCACTGTAGACGATGTGGTACTCAAACTGGCAGACAGAAGATGATGATGATGATGATGATGATGATGGTGATGGAGGCCCTGTTGTCAGGCACGCGACATCACTCCCCTGCAAAGGGAAACAGGGTCACTGGTTACACATCCTGCATTTGTAAAAGTGTTTGTTTGTTTGTTGTTCAGCGCCTCACAAATATTCCAGCTATATATCTGCAGTCTGTAAATAATCGAGTCTGGATCACACAATCCAGTGATTGAAATCATGAGCATCGATCTATGCAATAGGGATACGATGACATGCATCAAGAAAGTCAGTGAGCCTGACCACCCAATTCCAATCCTGATAATTACCTCTTACAACGAGGATGAGTTGTAATGGGGGTTATAATAGTGTGTGAGTTACTGCTTTGAACAGTTTGTCAGTTAAAACAACACTTGTCAGCTTAAAGTGGATGGAAACCCCTCCAAAAAACAGGTACTTGCTTTTTATCGCTTTGGTGAAGCAAGGACCAAGGATTCAAACCCATGACCACTGAATACTGACACCAAAATCAGACCTTAGTTCTCCCTACCGCTAAACAAAGATCTGAAGACATCCCATTCGGGGTCATGTCAGAACGACCAATCAGTGCGTCGCTTACCAGATTATGAAAGTGACAGTCAGAATGTGATTTCTAATCATGCAATCTCGAAAACTTTAACATGGGGTATTCCGAACGATAGTTACGGGTTTGACGACTGAATCCTTACAATCTAGACCATCTATTAGCCATTCCAGAATGTTTTTTGTTCCGGTTTCAAATTTGTAAATTGAGAATTTGTCAAAATATGTTTCGAAGCGTAGTCCCCAATTTGAAATTTGTGCCGTAAAGCTCAAGAAAGCTGCGTTCTGATTGGTCATTCCATTGGTCAGTCAAAGTTCGCGCAAGGTCGGTCTGACGTGACCCGTAATGGGATGTCCTCAGATCTTTGTTTAGCAGTAGCGAGAACTAAGATCTGATTTTAATGAGATTGCAAAGGGACAAAACTCTGCACAACAAATTTAGGCATCAACCAACTGGCCATCCAATTAGTATTAGTGTACATACTGGGACATGCAATTCAATACATTTTACAAATACAGAATACACACATTAGCCAAATAGTGATACATATCAACTGGACTAAATTACAGTGTTGCAAACTCTGGCTTGTTGTAACATGTTATAACCAGAAACTGTGACGCTGATCACTTGGATATAGATGTCATAACTTACTGTAAGGCCTGATGGACTACTATATAAGGCCAGCTTAAAAAATATTCTTGTTTCTCTTGACTTTTTTCAATACTAGGTGAGTTGGGGGTATTATTTTCCCTATTGCCTCAGTAGGTTACAAAGCAATATTTGTAAATTTGATGTGACCTCGTTTGGCCATGCCCACTGCCCTTCAAAATATGAAGAGACACAGCAAGATTTCCCTCTGAATCAGATGCACAATGAATGGCATGGCATGTGCAAAAAGTAGGAATCTGTAGCAAAATCGAAATTTGAGTTCGAAAAAAGTTGTTTTTCAAAAGTGCTCAAATATTAATAACGTTTTAAGGGTGGGGGCAATTTTAGGTGTGAATGAGTTGTATGAAACAAGTGGGTTGTATGAAACAAGAAATTAATTTTATCAAGCCTTTGTACAACTCATGGGCCTGACATACTCCCTGCTTCACTGAATTTCTTAAACATGGCTGATAGCAGCTGTTATCTCAACTTGATCTGGTATCAGCCAACAAACAAGCAAATACTTGTACCTTCAAGTACATGGCACTGTCTAGGTAGCGGACAACCAACCCCCCAACATTTAAGCTAGTGCAGTGAGTAACTTGAAAATGACTTGCAAAAAGCTAACTGGCTAAGATAACACTGTTTCAATACCTGTGGTGAATTCATTGTTTTACATCAAAGACAGTACGATATCAACTATACCATGGCTGCCTGATACTGATCAAGTCTGGACAGGACAAACTGGTGGTTGATAGCATGAGCAACGATTCCAGTCTTCAGGATATGACAAGAACTGCTGGCATGCACTTGAAAACTGGATTTGACCAAACATTACAAACATTATCAGAATGTTACTAGGCTGAAAACAGTTGCGGACACTGCAAACTTAAGGTCCAAAACACAACTGTGATACCCATATCAAATACAGCACCATAGAATAACCATATCATCTTTGTTTCATTTTTTGTCAGCATCAATCATGGGCATATACTTTCTTTTGCCTGGCATTCTACATTAGCTAGATTTCACATTTCACCATCAAAATCTGAAAAATAACTTTGGGACCTATTGTAACTCAGTAGTGTGTGTAGAACGTTTGCGTATGTTTTTGGTGTTTTGTTTGTTGTCTAATGCTGCACTCAGCAACATTGCAAAAATATGACGTCGGTCTGTAAATAATCAAGTCTGGACCAGACAATCCAGTGATTGACATCGTGAGCATTGATCTACGCAACAGAAATACGATGACATGCATCAAACAAGTCAGTTAGTCTGACAAGCCCATCCTGATGCCTCACACGACAAACATGTTGCTGAAGGCCAATTCTAACCTTGATCTTCATGAGGGCATTCGGTGTTGTGTTTGTTGATGTGGTCTTGGTATAGAGTGTGTGTGTGTGTGTGTGTGTGTGTGTGTGTGTGTGTGTGTGTGTGTGTGTGTGTGTGTGTGTGTGTGTGTGTGTGTGTGTGAGTGTGTGTGTGTGTGTGTGTGTGTGTGTGTGTGTGCATGCTAGGATGGTCACAAGGTGTGTGGGGTGGTGGTGGTGAAGGATTGGGTTGTGCCTGGAGCAAGAATGAATATCGTCTATACCTCTATATCAATCTCTTCCTCCTCTTCAGCAATAATCTGATTGGCTGTCTGACCTCCAGATTGCTTCTGATTGGTGGATGACTTAATGTTATCTGTCACAACTTCAATGTTGCATCGCTTGGTAAGATACACTTCACTTCTGTTATGCTGCAATAGACATCACTATTTAAAATGGGTTACCTGGGTATTTACATAAAACATCCTGTAAGTGTACTTGATAGAGTTTGCATGTGTGTGTGTGTGTGTGTGTGTGTGTGTGTGTGTGTGTGAGTGAGTTGGATTTAACTCCTCTTTTAACTGTATTCCAGTTATATCACGGCGTGTCAGCTTAATGTGTGAAGAAAGCCCGAAGTGATGCAGGTTTTAGACATTTACCACTTTGGTGAAACACACGAGCATGGGTATGGTGCTGACAAACCTAGAAACATAATCGGGGCCAACCGGGAATTGAACCCACAATCATAGATTTATGGTGTGCCCAAGGGACGCAACTCTGCACACCGAATCACGGCGCCTGAGACGACTGGGCCACTTGTGCCCCCAATGGGAGTGAATGAATCTTGATGATGCCGAATATTCAAGCTACATCAAGGCAGTCTGTAAATAATGAAGTCTGAACCAGGCAAATCAGAGGCTGACTGCATGAACAATGATTTGTTTGTTGTTTGTCTGGTGTTCAATGTCTAATACAACACTCAACAATATTCCAGCAATATGATAGCAGTCTGTAGATAATCAAATATGGACCAGTCAATCCCGTGATTAACATCATCAGCATCGATCTATGCATTTGGAAACAATAACATGCATCAACCAAGACTGTCAATCCGATCATGTTTGTCGCCTCTTACGACCAGCATGGGTTGATAAAGACCACACCTAACCCAGATCTTCACAGTAGCTGTCACTGTGACACGCTGTAACCATCCAATCCTCATATTGTAGGCTCTAACAACAAGCTTTGTTTGTTTGTTGTTTAAAACAGCACTCAGCAATATTTCAGCCTGTAAATAATCAAGTCTTGACAGGCAATCCAGTGATTGAACCTATGAGCAACAATCCATGAAGCCTCTTTATAAATCAACTGAGTTGCGGAGTTGGAACACCCGAACGACTAGTCGCATCTTAGGACCTCTTCTTACCGGGGTTTATTATTTGTGACAAAGCAGGTACTGCGGAGCCATCCCGCCCACGAAGATGCATAGTGGTGTGTAGATGTTTGTTTGTTGTTTAACGCCGCACTCAGCAATATTCCAGATATGACAGCGGTCTGTAAATAATCAAGTCTGGACAAGGCAATCCAGTGATAGACATCATGATCATTGATCCACGCAATTAGGATACGATGACATGCATCAACCAAGTCAGCGAGCCTGGCCACCCGATCCTGTTAGCAGCTGGTTAGTCGCCTCTTACGACAAGCATAACTGCGGTACGTTGATGTAGCAGTGTAACTATTGTTGATGTACCTACATGTATGCTGTCCAGCAGTGCAACACATCTTTCTAGGCCTGAAGTAGCCTGTTTCAAACCAAAGTCTACAGTTTATATCAACAGCCTGTTTCAACCAATATTTTATGATGCTCCTTGACAGAATCTCTCGATATGTCAATTTTCATATCTTATGCTTAAATGTCAACAAATCGGTTTAATGCAGTTTACATAACCTTTTGGCTGGTGTCTTACGAGAAGGAGAAAGATCTAGCAACAGATTCCTTAAAAGTTGAGGATTTCAGCCAGATCCAGTAAGATCGATTTGTGTTTAAAGACAACACATAGGAGTCTTGTTAATAAAATTTAAACTTTTGTGACGAATTATTAATATCAATTTTAATACATTTTTTGGACAATTTACAATTTTGGCTAATATTAAATTTCATAAAATTAATTACCCCAGAAAATTAGAAGCATTTGTTTATTGGTTGGTTGGTTTGTTGTTTAACGCCGCGCTCAGCAATATTACAGCTATATGACGGCATTTGTTTATTGACAATGGGGGGAAATCTGGTGCGGTGGTTCGTGACTAATAAAGAGAATTTCGGGAGGTTGACCTAAATAAATGACAAGGAGAGTCAAACCTAAAACTGGAAATGACCGGTCTCATAAACAAGTTCACATACATACAGACGCACCATAATTATTTTTCAACAAATAACCTATATTTTATAAAATACTCGGGTCTTGTACCTTTTTCTTCATACCATCATCTATATCTAATTTGACACAGCTGACACGGTTTGGGAGTTGATTATGCTGTGATTAAACACGCCGATGGAAGGTTGCACAAACAAACTTGTCGACTTTGGTCTCGCTTTAGAAAAACGGGATTTCCTACCATCAAGGGAGGTAACCACGGGAGGCTTATTCCGCTATAGCGCGTGGGGATCGGGCATTCAGCCAAGTTTCTAATTTTAGGCTCACGCCGAATACAGCGAAACGCGATGGGTGCCGAGTCGCGCGTGGTTCTTTCTAGCGAAAGCAGTTATGGGTGGCGAGCACAAGCGAACACACTGCGCAAATAACTTACAGGCGATGACTTCAAATCCCAAGTATCGTTATTTTTGACCGACAGTGTAAAAAATATATTTGCTTGATTAGCGAATTCAGTCCCAGAAATCGAACCTGCCGCCATTTCTGTTCTGCTTGAGCCGCCCACGTAGGAGGTGTACGGTAGCGCTGATACACAATGGCCAAAGTGTGACCTATTTTTACTGTAAGGGGGAAGAAATTCGGTGAATCACCCTCGCTTTGTCGCTCCGATCCTTCTTAATTTTATCAAATTATTTTGAACTGTACCATAACATTTAAATCCGTCAACTTCGAAGGTATTTTGCTTGTTTGCTGTGCGAATTCATGTATATTTACAAAGACAATATCCTGTTACCCCTTTATCAATAAACTCGTCCGACCCAAGACGGTTTCGAGGAGCCCCAGAAACTATTGAGCAAAATCTCGGGGAATATAGGTCAACGCTACGTCGCATTATTATTTAAATCGTTCCATTGACTATAGCAGCTAGGGGAACAGTGCCTGCACTGAGAAACAAAGCCCAACACCCGTTGTTCAGTAAACAACTAACTCTATCCCGGGTGCGTTATCTATATTGGTAAATGATTCTGGTTTGAGAACAGTGAAGTTTCAATTATTTGTTCATCTTTTAAAAAATACGTACTGATGTATGATGTGGATGTATGTTCTAAGTAATATAAGGAGAAAAAACTGTTACTTTTACTTTGTATTTTGAACATTTTTCAAAACATCGTCAGTATTAGGTGCTAAAGAACAAACAATTTTAACCGAGAAGGCCTCTTCTTAAATATCTAGATTTTATTTTCCCATTTCTAAAGACAGCGCGTGGCGCTTATTCGACCTACATCTGTATGTAACATTAAGTACAGACGGCGATTATTATTTATCTGCACAAATATTAAATTTTTATTCATGCTCACACTTTTACTTTGGCAAACTCATTCTTTTGCTCATAAACAAAGCCAACTACGCCAAAAATTTACACTGATCTGATCAAACTAGATAATTGGCAAAGAGCCAGCAGGGCTTTGTCGCCGTACCACATGATGGTAGAGCCAGACGGTTTTGAGGCACTCCAAAGCATGCTATAATTAACTATCCAATAGAGACTTGCCATTTGACAGGTCTACTTGATGTTGGCAAGGCAACGGGGTCAGTGTCGTCCTTGATGGCTTGACAGGTGCGTGACAGTTCAGCTCTCAGCATGTACGCGAAAGGGAAAGGGTCTACTGTTCCCTCGGATGCTCAAGCGAGGGAAAAGTGAGTATTCTCAAACATACAGCATCAACATGACACTTGCATATTTTTCGATACGATAGTCCCGAGTTGTTCACTCACGATTATGCCTCGTCTTTGTCTATGAACGCGCTGTTTCACCTGCCAGTGAGGGATGCCCCATTCAAACAGTGTTGGTTATAATGCTAGGCTGTTCCGCTTAGTAAACACACCCGATCGTGGCAGTGATTCAGTGTGATTTGACTGAACAGGCTGATCGCTGGACATCGATCTTTGATATGAATGAAAATAAATGTTATTGTTTGTGTGAATAAAATAAATGAAATTATTATTTGGCATACGATCGCCAGTAAAGGACTGTAAACATGTTACACGAACATGAGCACGTTGTGGGTAATGTCAACTGCAATGGCCGCCGGCTATTCGATGGCCCAATCAGTTTGTGTACACTTGTTACATTGTTTTCTCTTCTACTTCCAGGTTAGCTTTGTACGTCTACGAATATTTATTACACGTAGGGGCCCAGAAGTCAGCGCAGACATTTTTATCAGAAGTAAGTATTTTAGGTGAATCGCGTTTTCTTCGCGGAACTTCCGTTGTGATGTTCTCCGACTTCCTCGCTATACCGCATGTAAATATGGCCCATTTGGGCACTATCAACGAATGACTGTGTCTGTCTAGAACCCGATTTGTATATCAGCCCTCCTCTTTCCTCTTTTGATACAGATACGATGGGAGAAAAACATTACACTGGGCGAGCCGCCGGGGTTTCTACATTCTTGGTGGTGGTAAGTACCTCGCTGGCTACACGTGGGGTCCGGCATCACATTGTACACGTGGGGTCACGGGTGAGTGAACACGCCCACACGGGGGTATTGGTCAGATTGGCATGCCATAAACTATTGGTACATTCATTTGGTGTGTATGCCCTGTTGTTTTTAGGTACGACGTCACATGTGCAAATTGTATAGGGATTAGGTTAGGGTAGTAGACATTGCATTGGGGATTAAGACACTTCATTAAAAACACATCACCATACCAGATCAGTAAGGCTGTTCCCCTAGGCATGTCCTGTTATATCTTATGCCATTGTTGCTAGTTTGCAGTATAAATTATTTGATACTTACATACCTCTATAAAAGTAATTGTTTGGGCGACTTCAGTGATAGTTGTATTAAGTAATTAATTGGTTTACCAATTTTTATTTGTCTCAACATGCAACTAAAGACATGTGTCTTTAAGAAAATGTTATTTAGAATAAATCTTCGGTGTACGTGAAGACTTACTTCAAACAGTATCCTGGACCCCGTTACACAAAGTGATCTTAGCACTACTACTGTCGTAAGCCTATGTTAAAGTATTGGAGTTAAGATCTCCTTAGTGCTAAGATAGATTTGTGCAACGGGGCCCAGGTGGGGAGATAAAAAAAAAAGATTAGTGATCAGTTATGAATAAACCCGTCAGACATTCATGTATGTATGAATGATGATGATGAATGTTATCATTAATGTAAACAGGTGTTTTAGACAAAATGACTATTGCATAATTGGCTGGTATTATTTAAAGTAATATGTTACGGATATTACAGAGTTGTGATCCTTTAGTTGACAGAGTGGATGATATGAGAATACTGTATATTACTGCCAAATGACTTACCCCCATGTAGAACAGTGTTCACTGACTGGTGTAAATAAATGTTGTTGTGAAGTAATGCCTTTGTTTTCAGCCAGAAGCAACAGTGGGCTGTATAAAGTTAACACCTTGGATTTTCAGACTGGTGTATATTTTATATATACACCACTCAGTGTTTTGTCTTGTGGATTGTGCAATTCTGCCCTGTCATTGGCTGGTGCAAACAAATGTGGAACTGTTATGTGTTATGTGATACAGTAGGTCAACACCTGGTGCACAACACCCTATACAAGTGCTGCTTATACTTGCCAGATCCCTGTTCTGTGACAAACCACACTGCATACATCAGTTTGGATACGTTTACACATGGTCCAGTGGACATGAACATCGCCATACACTAATGCCCACAATAGACAGGTCGTCTGCATCTATCCAAGGCAGGTTGGACTCAGTTAGGCCCTGCCTGTCACTTAGTTATGTGCCTTCACTCCACATTTTCCACATTTGTTGTGGAACAATACCTTTGTTGTGATCGCTTTAAAATCCTGAACTGATCTCTGCAACCCTTTACTACAGTCATGTGCTACCTGAAGCCAAACTACCCAGACCACCTACATACCCTTGGCCACCCAGATCCACCATGTCAAACCTATGGTTATTCTCACCCACCCTGACATACCCTTGGCTGTCCATTCCCACCCAAACTACACAGTGGCCACCCCGATCCACCCTACCAACCCCTGGCCACCCAGATCCACCCTACCAACCCTTGGCCACCCAGATCCACCATGTCGAACCTTTGGTTATTCCTTCAACCCCTGACATAGCCTTGGCTGTCCATACCCACCCAAACTACACAGTGGCCACCCAGATCCACCCTACCAACCCTTGGCCACCCAGATCCACCCTACCAACCCTTGGCCACCCAGATCCACCCTACCAATCCTTGGCCACCCAGATCCCCAATGTCGAACCTTTGGTTATTCCTACACCCCCTGACATACCCTTGGCTCTCCATACACACCCAAACTACACAGTGGCCACCCAGATCCACCCTACCAACCCTTGGCCACCCAGATCCACCATGTCGAACCTTTGGTTATTCCTACACACCCTGACATACCATGGCTGTCCATACACACCCAAACTACACAGTGGCCACCCAGATCCACCCTACAAACTCTTGGCCACCCAGATCCACCATGTCGAACCTTTGGTTATTCCTTCAACCCCTGACATACCATGCCTGTCCATACCCACCCAAACTACACAGTGGCCACCCAGATCCACCCTACCAACCCTTGGCCACATAGATCCACCATGTCGAACCTTTGTTTATTCCTACACCCCCTGACATACCCTTGGCTGACCATACCCACCCAAACCATGCCGAATCCTTGGCCATCCTGCCTTTGTGTGAGGTATGGATGTCACCATACCAAGACCTGGCCTACCCGATCCACCCTAACTAGGACCCGCCTACCTGGACCCACCCTCCCAGATCAGGTCCCCCTAAACACCCCCTAAACACATGTCGACCTGCATTACCTGAGCCCCCCACAAATTCCACCCAAGCTCCCACTTCATGATCTCGTCATCATTCAAGCAAATGCTTAGAATTTTTTTTTGCCATGTCAGCAGTCTGCCTGCGTAGTGTTGATATGTCGGAACGCATCTAAGGGCTACAAGCCCCCCCTGCCATTTTCCTTACAGCTGGGGCTTGGAGGCCAGTGCTAATTTCTGTCCCTGCATGGGGTGCCCTGGATTGATTAGTGTGCAAGGGGGGTCATCCTTCTCACAAGCACTTGGGTGGGTTTTCTCCAGCCATCTATCTCTCCTGCCTCCCCCCTCACCACTCTTCCTATTCAACCTCATGAAGGCTCTCCTCTGTGCCCTCATCAGCCATTGATCTGAACTCTCCCTCTCGACCCTTCCGCCAATCCTCTTGCTCAAATAAACCAAAAAAGTAACATAAACAAACACTGCCACACTTGCACCACCCCATCCATCCATTTCACTGACCTACGTACAAACAGTTGCACAAGAACAAACAGGACCGTGTTGCAGCCCTTGCACCTCTCCCACAATCAGTATGGAGACTCAAACACAGAATCCCGTTTGGAATTTAATGAATATGTTCCCCCTGCATTGTTGTGTATGTGGATGTTGTTACCCCAGCCTAGTGTTGCATGATTGTCCTGTCCCCTAAACGTTCAGTCACTGATCCTGTCATGGTCGTTCCACCACCTGGGCAGCCCCTCTGATGGACAATGGGATGTCCCAATATTTCCATCATTCGATAGGTATTGTAACAAAAGGGTTTATTTTAGATGCTTTTGGAGACGTTTGAAGGAATTAGACAAAAAATGAATAGGCAGTAATGTCCTGAATTAAACATTTGGAAATCTGCTGGCACCAGAGAGCACCTGTGACAGGTTTTGTGTAAGAGAAGCATACCTTTGATATTTTGTCTCTGCAAGAGGTGATGCATGGATTGTCAGAGAATGGCTAGGACAGCGTCTATGTGAGCCAACTGCTGGCGTGAACTCTCAACTTGTTGTACATGTGAAATTATCAGACAAGGAAGCAGACAAAGAACGTGAATCCAGGATGTAGTTGATGAAACAGTTGCCTGGCTGTGTGGAGTTTGTTCATCACGTCGATATTCTGGAACTGACTGAATATTACCTCCATGGGTTTCTTGACAGGGCTTGATGCCTTGTTCAATTTGGACTTCGTGTGAAAATATAAGAAATGTTTACTGGTGGTCCAGGAGTGTGAAAATATAAGAAATGTTTACTGGTTGTCTGGGACTGTCTAGATCTTCTTGTTCCTAGTTGATACTACTTGTGCAGAGGGGCGGTTGGGTAGCCCAGTGGTGAAAGCGTTCGCTCGTCACGCCGAAGCCCTGGGTTCGATTCCCGACATGGGTACAATGGTGAAGCCCATGTCTGGTGTCCCCTGCCGTGATATTGCTGGAATATTGCTAAAAGCGGCGTAAAACCACACACACTCACTTGTGCAGGCCTTCATGATCTGTCCACGTTGTCATGTGGTGTGTGTGGAATCTGATGAGGGCTACAGTAATCTTTTTGGATGAAAATTCAGACCTTGAAAAAAGGATTGAATTGATACGGCCACATTCATGAATTGCTTAATTCCTGCCTATTGAATAGTAGTGGTCATGTTTTGAAATGGGGTTGAAATTGTATATTATATAATGAATATTATGTAAAAATTCACAGGACTAACCACATGAGATAGCTAACAAGGTTTATGGTTTATCTGTCAGATAATGTACTGGCGTTGGTTTGAAGTTTCAGACTTTACATCACAAGGGATTTTTTTACTTAATGATCAAATATATTCTCACTGTTTCCCTTTGACAGTGTATCTTGATACAAACCACATCAAAAACAAAATCTCAATATATTTCACATGACTTGGGTGTATCAATATGTATGGCATTACTTGGGTGTATCAGTGTTGATCACATGACTTGGGTGTATCAATATGTATGGCATTACTTGGATGTATCAATGTTGATCACATGACTTGGGTGTATCAATATGTATGGCATTACTTGGGTGTATCAATATGTATGGCATTACTTGGATGTATCAATGTTTATCACATGACTTGGGTGTATCAATATGTATCGTGATTTAGGTGTATCATCTGCATGGTAAGGAAGACTGCATACAACGATGACAATTTGCTGAGTATTTGTGACCCTTGATTAAGAACTTTATGTCAATTATCAGTCGGACGTTCCTTTAGCCTCTACATTGCAATGAATTACAGGATATTAATGTCTAGATCCTGTTCAGATTATTCTTCCAAGAGTATCATGTGAAGTGTTACTATCCGTGCTTGTAGGAAGTCTAACAGTGATGCATTTTTGTGTGCTCTATCTTATGGACTTATCTGAACAAATCCCAACAAATCCTTTTTCAATCCTGTAGTGATGGTTTCTGCAAAGTATGAACACGATAAAATTACATCCTTTTTTTTTGAAACGGAAGGAGTTTGTTATTATGAGGCAGTGGGTTGGTTAGCCAAGTAGTGATGGCATTGGCTAATAATGAAGGGTTTGTTATTATGAGGCAGTGGGTTGGTTAGCCAAGTAGTGATGGCATTGGCTAATAATGAAGGG